CATTTTTCCATTTTGGATAGGGGGGCATAACCCCAATCAATTTTTTTTTTTTTTCCCACCTGTGTCCCATTGGGGAGATTCACCTTCACTTCCGGTCCCATAGACTAAACAGGCAGTGAGAGGAAATCCCTGCAAACTAATGGAATTCCTTGGGAATCCCCAGGCCACCAGAACTTGTCAACCCATTGGAAAATTTCCCCTCTATTACTTTTCTGGGGACAACCCAAAATTTAAGATATTCTTTTACTTTCACTGTCAATGATAATAGGTAAACAGGACATATAGGGATGGTGAATCTTCTCTATGGAGAAAGGGTGGGGGCACAGACAGCAATAGAAAACTAACTGGTGTTCTAATCCATCTCTTGAGATACTGCGAAAGATGTCATGTCTGTTTTTGTTCTCTGCAGTACATTTTGAGGATTGAGCGCTGTGTTAGGGTTGTATTTTTATGGACAAGCAGTGGAGAAATATTAGTCAGCAGACTGATCTCTGCCACCATGAGGAAATGCAGCAAAGAGAAACTTCTTCAAAGTAGAGTATTATGTGCTTCATCTGGGAGGGTGGCAAGAGATCGGCCACTTTGGTCTTGTCCCTGGGATCCAATATGGTGGACACCCAATAGTGTTTCCTCTACTTGATCATCTGAATGCATGGGTCCTTGAATAAGCATTGAAGCATGAAGAACCATATATGTTACAAATGTCCATCATCTGAAGACTTGAATACCTCATTATTACTGAGGACAATGTTGTCTTCCAACTGCTTACCCTGCCAATAATGCCTGGGGCTTGGGAATGATGAGGAGCCTGTCTGCCTTCCTCCTCCCCTCTTCTCTCCCCTGACTCATTCTCAGCCCCCTGCTGCCTCTGAATCCCAGGGATGAAAGCAGTGGACAGAGATTGCTAGTGACCAAGACATCAAGTCAGGCCAGACATGTTCAGAGAGATAAACCATAATCTTATGGTGTCACCTATCCCCGCCTGATTGCTGCCCACCATTTTAGTAACATTTTAGCAAAACATTACAGTGCAAAATCTCATATACTAGCAGAGGTAGTGTGTGATCACTTGCTGCTGCTGTAGCCTCTGCAGCATATCTAGGGTCAAATTCCAGTGTGTGGGAGTGTTGCATATCAATTTCTTGGCAGACAGCTGGTGTTGATTCTGCATTTATGCAAGGCAAGCTTTGGCCAGAAGCTCTTAAATTGTGTGCAAACCTTCTGGCCTGGTGAGGGCAGGAGGGATGGCATGTCCTGGAATTCAAAATATTTTGACAGGAAACGCTGTGCTTTGAGGTTTAGAACATGAATCAGGCAAGCCCGAGGTTCCCCAGAGGTGAGGTGGACAGCAACTTTGTGCCATTATCACACAAAGCCTTGCTGATTTTCAGCTGGCATGAGGTAAGTCATTCCTCAGCCTGGGCATGGAGAATGGACATTAGCTCCTGCTTGATGTGGCTCCTTTCCCCAGGCATACAGGCAGCAACGATGCAATGCAATATTTTGCCTGGGGCAGTGCGTAGACTCTAGGGTGCCTTTTAGGGTTCTGGGATGATGATGAGGACTTTGAGGATGAGGCCAATGAGAAGAAGCAGGTAAAGCTCACAGAGCCACCACAAACTCCCATAAAGAGGATAAGGCAGCAGCACAAAGTAGAGTGATATTTTCGTGCTGCATTAATTTCCCAGACACCATAGGGAAAACCCAGTGAGCAGTGATATACAGTATAGCACTGCATTCTATGAGTCACACATTCCTTCACATGAAGGTAAAGATCAGGGATGGTCTTCAGAGAAAAGTAATGACAGCTGGGTACCTGCCACCCTGGAGCAGTACAGGTCATAAAGTGGCAGAAAGTTTCCACCAGTTTGCATGGAAGCAGTTGGTGTGCCAGCAGCTCTGCCAAGCTGGCTTTGAGAAGCTGGGCTTGCTTCTGCACCATTTTTTTCTGCAACAGCAACTGGGAAGAAAAGTCTGAGTCAACCTTTTCTCAGTCAGGTGCTGCTTCCACTGATCTCTGTGTTGCTGAATCACGTATTTGTCCATTACAGTAGAACCCAAGCTGATGTCAATCTTTCCATTGCATATGCACTTCTGTCAAAGGTTGCAAATCAAAATGCTATTGTCAGCAGTAGACACAGTAAAAGATGGCTACATTGCAGAGGTAGCTGGACTGGCCTTTGCCTTTGAGGCACTGCCACCTGAAGGATTTGCTCCATGCTGTTCTTTTGTTCTTAGCAAGTTGCCCCTGACACTCAACACTTTCTCCTTCACTGCTCTTCAGCCTCTATCTCTGAGCTTTTGTCTTCTCCCTACCATGGCACCCATGTGCGGTCTGTCACCTCATCCTGCACTGCCTCTTCCTTGCTGAAGAACTACTTTGCATTGAGCTCTATCTGCTGCATATTTTCTGTCTGTTGCTTCTTCCTGCCTGTGCTCCTCTGCCTCTAGCGTTACTGAGCCACCCTCTTCCTCCATGGTTATCCCATTTCTTTTCTGTATGCCAAAAAGCTTGCATATCATTTAAATCTTCCTCCCTGCTGCAAGTCTGCTATGGTAACTATAGTCAGTAAATTCCACATACACCTCAGTTTGTGGTTGGATTAGCCAAGCAGGGGGAAGAAGGTGCTTTGGCAACATTGGCAGCCAAATGGCTATTCTGCACCTTGGAGGATATTTGTGTGGAAGGTTTATCAGGTAGTCAAATATCTGCTGCGTGTGCTGAGACTATACTTGTCAGCACACATGTCCTACCGTTAGTCACTGTGGCCTTACCTCCACTATGTCCTGCAGGACCTGCTCGCCATCTATTGTAACCACATGCAGCACCTCTGCCTCTCATTATATGTTACACGTACACATCTGGGCTTGGAGTCAGTAAGTCAGCACTACGTTAAGGTCCAGGTCCGGGTCAAACCAATGGGGTAGGTAGGCATCCAGGAGGAACAACTGCCCTGTGCACAGTAGTGTTTTAATGTGGGGGAAGGTGGGGGGTGCCATGCTACCAATTCAACCTGTAGCAGTAGACACCAATGGCAATTTGTGACATTACTATGCTAAACTGGGTTGTGACTGGAGAGCCCTTTGCTGTCAGCCTGGGACATGACCTGTCATATGAGTTGGTGATCGCCTGTGCAGAGAAAGGCATGGGGGTGCTAGAGAAGTGACATGCTCCATCTGATATCATATACTCATCCCTGTCCTGCAAGTATGGTGCCTTCTGCAGCTGTTCAGGTGACACTATCATATAATATGTATTATGGAAAACAGAAAAGTGGAACCATAGTGCTCTCTATTTATAAAAAGATTTATTAGCGCCCAGATTAAAAACACTTACAAAATGTAAGAAACAAGCCAGCATGCAATGTATAATTTTGTTACACAGCTCTATAACTTTCACACAAACTAAATAATATACACCGATTTTGGGTTATTTTTTATCAAAGAAATAAAATAAAATACAAGTTGGCCTAAATTTATGAAGAAAGATTATTTGCAAAATGTTTAAACAGAAACTAAGAAAAAAATGGGATTCTTTTTAAAAATGTTGTTTTTTTTAATTTATATAGCAAAAAACAAAAAAACGCAGTGGTGATTAAATACCACCAATAGCCCTATGTGTGTGGAAACAAATTATAGAAATGTTTTGGGTACAGTATTGCACGACCGAGCAATTGCCAGTTAAAGTAGTGCAGTGCTGAATAGCAAACCGTGCCCTGGTCATGAAGGGGGTAAAACCTTCTGGAGGTCACATGGTTAAACTGAATGGATTGAGAGAAGAACGATGTCAGAGTGTGGCTGTGGTCACAAAGGGGCATTCACAGTGGCCTAAAATATAATCATTTATTACAGGTCCTTATATAGCGCCATCAATTCACACCGCTTTATAAATGTAACGCCCTGTAGTGTAGTTAATTTATGTATAGTTAGAGACTTGCTAGAAGTCTGGGTGTGAGTCAGGAAGGTTACTTTAGTTTAGAGCTGGAGGGCTTTACAGGTCAGTCCTCTGGTACCTCCCCCTGCTCTAGAGACTTGGAGAAGTTTCTAGAAGCCAGTAGTCGGAGGTGAGGTAGGCCTGATCTGCATATTTATGGGAGTCTGAACAACCCCAGGCAGGAGACCTGGCAGTGTGGGAGATCGGCCCATAAATATGAGAGAGCCTGGTTAGCAGAGGAGTCGAGTGGAAGATGGAGTGAGGAAGTACTGCTGGTGTGGAGCCTGGGAGGGGTTCGGGAGAAGGAGCTTGAAAGAGGGACCTTTGCTGTTCTACAGTCTGCTGGGGAAGGATTGCCTGTCAGCAGAGGAAGAAGCCAGCCCAGCGTAAGGCCTGAAAGCAGCTTCACCTTTTAAAGCTAAAGGAACAGGACAGTGTGAGTACCTCTACACCCCCTGGGCCTACAAAAGAGTCAGGTGCCATACTCCACTAGTTCTCCCTGGGACATTATCTTTATGTGTCTCGGAATCCCTTGTCCTGGGATAATTTATCAAGACAGCCAGGTGGATGAGGAGATTGTCATCTGAGGTCTTTTAACCTCCCTAGCGGTATGATTATTTCAGATTTTTGGTGCTGAAAGCGGTACCATTATTTTGCATGGAAATATGTAGTTTTTTTTATTGTAGGCTGTAATATTTAGGAATAACTCACTGAAATCTGTACGAACAAGAGTCTATTAAACATCCCGGGTATGATAAAATTTGAAACACGAAATCATAAATTATAATTTAATAAATATTCATAAAAAATAATAATATAATACATTTAATTCAAAAATATAATCAAACCAAAAACACTGAAATTTGAAATATAGCGCCAAGTTCGCACATCGCTGAGCAAAGTTGCAAAATCGTTTTCAGTGTCTGATGATGAATTTCCCCACGAATCATCACTCAATTCTGCAAGTGGTTCTGATTTACTATCGCTGTTCTCTAGCTGGTCTAAACCCGCTTTTGACCTAAAGGGACACTTTTTGGACACCATGGACTTTTCTAAGTTTCCAGGCAGAAAGAACAGACAAAATGCAGACAGGAGACAGGACAGAGCACTAGGGACAAAATGTATGTGAAATGGGTTGAAACAGCAATGTTTTACTATGTAAAATCGTTTTGAAAAAAATGACATTTTTTTAACATTTTCAAATTTCCCACTGCCGGTGCCGTACGTCCCGACGTCACAGGAGCCGGATGCCGGCATCAGCCGGAGGAGATGGCCGGGGACGCTGCAGGGGACACATCGCGGGAGCGCAGGACAAGGTGGGTGCTGCAGGGACTCCCTATGCAGCGCCGCATGGTAAGCCCGAGTGTAGCTCGGGATTACCGCTTTTGGTACTGACATTTTACCCCGAGCTACACTCGGGAATACCGTTAGGGAGGTTAAGAAGACTGAGTGCTCCTCGTAAGGACTGTGTGCTGATCCTTCAAGAGACATTTCAGAGGGAGTAGAAAGTTCAGGATCAATTTTGTTTTGCTTTTTGTTCATAGGAAGTTTATCATCCGAGTTGTTTCAGTTCCATTGGGCATCCCATATTCACCTAGGCCTCATCCAAGTTGTTTAATTCCTAATAAAACAACAAAACCAAGCTCATGGACTGTTTACTGACTTTGAATACAAGAGTGGAAAATGTGTGTTGCCTGGCTGTAACGGAAAATAGGGGGAGCCAAAACCAGCGGCTCTTAAGAAGGTAGTGCTACATCAGTCCCTACTTTCAAGGAGCTTACAATCTAAGGACCCTAACCCGCATTCATACATACCCATTCTAGGACCAATTACCTATCAGCATGTCTTTGGAAGTGGGAGGAAACCAGAGTACCCGGAGGAAACCCGCACAGGGAGAACATGCAAACTCCAGGCAGGTAGTGATGGCAGGGAGAAGTGCTAACCACTTAGCCACTGTGCTGCCCAATATGGGATCCCTTAGAGCTCATTCACACATCATCATTATGAAGAATGAAGCAATGCTCAGTAACGCATCTATAGCGTTTATGATATATTTATCACGTTTTTGTTGTTGCGTTTATGAAGCATTGAGAACGATTTACCAATGCTTGATAAATACCCATGAAAGTGCTGCTTTTCTAGTGGGAAGTTCTTAACCACTTGCCCTCCAGCGGATTTACTCTCCTTCCTGACCAGGCCATTTTTCGCGATACGGTGCTGCGTTACTTTACCTGACAATTGCGCGGTCATGCAACACTGCACCTAAATGAAATTTATGTCTTTTCCCACAAATAGAGCTTTCTTTTGGTGGTATTTGATTGTTTTTTTAATTTTTTGCACTATAAACAAAAAAAGACCGACTATTGTGGAAAAAAAAATTTGTTTTTACTTTTTGCTATAAAAGATGTCCAGTAAAAAAATTTTAAAAATCAAATTTCGTCATAAATTTAGGCCAAAATGTATTCTGCTACATGTCTTTGCTAAAAAAAAATTCCAGTATGTGTAAATTAATTGGTTTATGTGAAAGTTATAGTGTCTATAAATGGCATTTTTTTTTTTATACTAGTAATGGCGGCAATCAGCGAATTATAGAGGACTGCTGCGGGTATTCTGACACTGGGGGGGTACTGACTGTCACTGACATACCCAGTGACACTAATACAATGATCAATGTTAATAAAAAGCACTAACACTGTACTAATGGCACTGGGCAGGAAGGGGATAAAAGCTGGGACGATCAAAGGGTTAACTGTGTGCGTGCTTTAAACTGTAAGCACACTGCTTTGTATGGCTCTGCTATGACAGGGGAGATCTTTGTATTGTTTACACACAGGTCTCTCCCCCCGATCGCTGGGTGTTGGTGGGGAATCACCGGCCGGGACCCGGTGATCAACAGCTGAGGCCGCACGCCCCTCCTACCCAGAATGCAAAATCACTTATATATATATATATATATATATATATATATATATATATATATATGTGACTTTGCACAGCCTTGCCGCGCTGTAGCAGCTATAGAGCGGCAGGAAGCTGTTAATGGGGAAATGGTGTACTTTGACCAGTGGTTATGTTGTGGTGTGATAGCAGACATTTCTGTGACTTCTCTGTAGACTTTGATCTCTTTGACCCTTGGCTTGGTACAGCTCTACTTTGCTTCAAACAAAAAGCTTTGCCACTAAAAATAATGTCTAATGCCTCTGCTCCTGTCTGGCATTGCCATTGGCTGGTTGTTGCTTTTACCCGCACACAGAAAATTGTGTTATCACATAGCTGCTCTGTACAAACAGGAAGTGGCTGGAGCTGCTCTGTCCTAGTTCTCTATTATTTCCCATTGCATTCTGGGATACAGGAACCTTCACTGTCTCTCCCTAGCACCTGGCTAACACTTTAATAATGCTTCACTAATATGTCATAAATGCTACTAAAGCGGAGTTCCACTCAAAAGTGGAAGCTCCACTTATTTGCCTCCTCCTCCTCTCCACTGTCATATTTGGTACCTTTGATCAGTATTTTTTTTTTTTTTTTTACACAATTTGATTGCTTATAGCAAACAATTTCTTTGCTATAAGCAAGCATTTAACTGACTGAAATCGATTCATTCAGGGTTTTTTTGTTGTGATTAGCTGTGATTGGCCACGGCTAATCCCATGACACAGGCTGTGATTGGCCCAGCCTGTTCATGTGATCACTGTGACCATTCACAGCTAGACACACTTGTATACAATGGATGGCATGAAAGGAAACCATGACCATTGTTTACAACTGTCATGTGACCTGCTGTGATTGGTCACAGCAGGACACATGGTACTGGCAACGAGGTCTGTACACAGATCTGTCATCGGCCGTGTCCGAGGGACAGATCTCGCCACAGCGTGCCACAAGGCGTGATCCAGGAAGGACATCATATGATGCCCTCCTGCATCAACGAGAGGCCCGCCGGGCTGTTATTTTACTATAGGCCGGGCGGGAAGCAGTTAAGGTGCAGTTATAGAACATTACTATTGAAATCAACAGAGGTAGCTGACAATGTCCATGCCTCAAGAAATCACTATGCTGCTTGATTTGTACAACACAACGCTACTGCTCCTGTGTGAACAGCACTATGTGGTGCCCACTGTCATATTCAAGGGCTATTATGAGGCTTTAAAAATGCTGAATAAATGCTGTATTTACACAGGGTAGTGATGCACATGGGAACAAGCCCATAGTGCCCAATGTTTTCTAACATCTACACTACACAACTACCTAAGGTTGCCACCTCATCCCTTTACAAGTGAACACATAGGAATTACACAGGTTCTGTGGCTGAGTAAGGTGGTCATTAACCTCCCTGGAGGTATTCCTGAGTGTAGCTTGGGGTAAAGTTTCAGCATCACAAGCGGTAACCCCGAGCTACACTCGGGAATACCTTGCAGCGTTGCTCCGGAATCTCTTCTGCACTTACCTTGTCCTGCGCTCCCCGCGATGTCCCCCCTGCAGCCTCCCGGCAATGTCTTCCGGGAGATGCCGGCATTTAAAAATGTGAAAAAGTGACATTCACTAAATACACTAAAATCACATAATAAAACATTGCTGTATCAAACCATTTCACATACATTTTGTCCCGAGTGCTTTGTCCTGTGCCCTGCCTGCATTTTTACTGTTCTTTCTGCCTGGAAACTGAGAAACGTCCATGGCGTCCAAAAAGTGTCCCTTTAGGTAAAAATCGGTTTTAGACCAGCTAGAGAACAGCGATAGTAAATTAGAACCACTTGCAGAATTGAGTGATAATGATTCATGGGGAAATTTGTCATCAGGCACTGAAAACGATTCTGCGACTTTGCTCAGTGTTGTGCGAACTTGGCGCTATATTTTTCAAATTTCAGTGTTTTTGGTTTGATTAAATTATTGAATTAAATTTATTATATTATTATTTTTTATGATTATTTATACAATTATAATTTATGATTTTGTGTTTCAAATTTTATCATACCTGGGATGTTTACTAGACTCTTGTTCGGACAGATTTCAGTGAGTTAAAAATTACAGGCCTACAATAAAAAAATTACATATTTCCATGCAAAAAAATGTACCGCTTTGAGCACAGAAATATGGACATAATCAGACCGCTAGGGAGGTTAAACTCACGGAGTGTCTTATCTGCAATTAATCATCCACAGAACCTGTGTCATTCATACATGCTCGGTTGTAAAGGGATGATGTGGCAACCCTTCAACTACCTCAAACACCACTTCTGCAGTGTCCCCAGTCCAATAGTAGACTGCCGCACCCACTATGGTGTCCTTTTATAATGCAGCGGTAAATGACCGCTGCTCAGTTCTCTGGCACTCTCAGAGAGAGTTCTCCTCTGAATGCCGTTTTATGAAGCTGTGTAGACAGGGGTGGACTGATAACTCATGGGGCCCCCGGGCAATAAGGGATCATGGGGCCCCTGTCCTTGCCCACACTCAAAGCACACCAAAAAAGCCTATAAAAAAGGTACCAGGGGCATTTCATGAGGCCCCCTACCAGGGCGGACTGACCAATTTCAAACTCGGGCAATGCCCGAGGGCCCGGGGTCAATAGAGGGCCCCATGAGATGCCCCTGGTACCTTTTCCATAGGCTTTTTTGAGTTTGGGCAAGGACACAGGGGCCCTATGATCCCCTATTGCCCGGGGGCCCCATGAGTTGTCAGTCTGCCCCCTACTGACCCCTGGCCCTAGGGCAGTGCCCGAGTGCTCAGTCTGCCCCTGGGTGTAGATCGCTCCTCCGAATGGAGAAGTGATCAACAAACACTTTGAACGCTGGAAAACGGCTGCTGTTACTATAATCTTGTGAGATTACAGTAAGAGATCAGACAAACACCGTTTACTAAGCAGAGGTAAATTATCGCTGCTTCGTTTGCGGTTCCCCCGATTCTCTGGGCTGGAGAATCTGGAGGGAGAACACAGATCACCACTGAATGGCTGACATCGCTCCTTCATATACTGGCCAATCTGTGTGCTCAGATGATCAGTGCAGAACATGTTGTCCGCTGGTCATCTGTTTCCGAAAGATTGCCGCTGACGTCTGTTTTATAAAAGGACATTATACTTCATCGGAGCTCCCGCACATAACCCCGCCCACCATAATAACTATAGCAGCTTCCACACACAGCCCCACCCACAACCTTCAGCTTCCTACAAAGCCCCACCTACTACGCTTGAGCTCCCTACGCAACCCCGCCCATTACACGGAAGCTCTTATACACAGTTCCGCCTACTACACGAAATACACTTGAGCTCTGCACACGGCCCCGCCCACTATTCTCATTACACGAGAGTTCCATACACAGCCACGCCCCATGTACAGCTGCCGGTTGTTAGAACGAGACGTGAGGCGCAGTTTCCGTGCGGCTGCGCAGTGCGCACAGAGGAAGCTCCTTGTCCCAGCAACATGGCTGAACTGTCAGCTGTCCTGAAGCGGCTGTGTAGAGTGGTGCTCTTCCTCTCACAGCTGTATGTGTTCTCTGGGCGCGGTAAGTGGTCTCCGTACAAGGTGGGCTACATGTGGGCCTTCCTCTTCCTGTAGCGCGGAAGGTACAATGACAGGACTGTGTGTCCTCATCATAGGGTGGGGGTTGGGATTTCATTGCTGTCATAGTGACCTGATGTGAGAGTGTGGAGGAGTCATGAGGTGACCCATTCTATAGGCATGTCATTGTATTGATGGGTGTTGTGTTCCTCATACACAGGGCTGTACACAGTGTGTTATCATTCCCCGGGACACATTGAGATGAACTGGAAGATGGCGCTGTATGCAGTTGTATGGTCGGATCCAATAGAGCATGTATGTTCTGATCACACCCAGTTTATGTATGAAGCATACGTCCATGTGTGCGTTGTATGCAGTTGTATGGTCAGACCCCATAGAGCATGTATGTTCTGATCACACCCACTGTTTATGTATGAAGCATAGGTCCATGTGTACGTTGTATGCAGTTGTATGGTCGGATCCCATAGAGCATGTATGTTCTGATCACGCACTGTTTATGTAGGAAACATACGTCCATGTGTGTACTGTATGCAGTTGTATGGTCGGATCCCATAGAGCATGTATGTTCTGATCACGCACTGTTTATGTAGGAAGCATACGTCCATGTGTGTACTGTATGCAACCCGCCATATAGCCGCCTACAGCGCCATCTTCTGTTTCATGGTTGGCAGCTGTACGCAGCAGCTGGGGTCCCCGGAGAGGCGTAACGCAGACTCTGCATGCTGTAGGGCTCTGTGGGGAGGGATTAGATCCCCTCTCAGGTTTTTATCGCTTTTTCTATTTGTCCTGGTGACTGTTATCACTGAAAATTAAGGAAAGTCCCAAAGTTTGGGTTGTCTGCAGAACAGGAACAGACGAGAAATCTTCCAATGGGGACACTAGTTCTGGTAACAACCAGCGATCCACTCACTTTGGAGGGATTTCTTTTCACTTCCTGTTATAGCTATGGGACAGACCTGACAGTTATAACCCTCCCTTACTGTATCCCTACATTGCTTCAATCTTTTTTCAGTAGTGGCCCCCCAGTCTACAATGTAAAAACTAAGGAAACCTGAGCCTGGGAAGAAGCACACAACCACCTTGATGAAATTAACTTCACATCAAAGGACCCCCTTCATCAGTCATCCCTTCATGTCCGGGGCCCCCCCCCATATACATGAAAGCCTCTCCATCATATCCAAATCACCTCTATCCATGAGAGCTCCCCCCATGACATCCGAGTCACATCTATCTATGAGAGCTCCCCCCATGACATCCGAGTCACCTCTATACACGCGAGCACCCCCGTCACATCCGAGTCACCTCTATACACGCGAGCACCCCCGTCACATCCGAGTCACCTCTATACACGCGAGCACCCCCGTCACATCCGAGTCACCTCTATACACGCGAGCACCCCCGTCACATCCGAGTCACCTCTATACACGCGAGCACCCCCGTCACATCCGAGTCACCTCTATACACGCGAGCACCCCCGTCACATCCGAGTCACCTCTATACACGCGAGCACCCCCGTCACATCCGAGTCACCTCTATACACGCGAGCACCCCCCGTCACATCCGAGTCACCTCTATACACGCGAGCACCCCCGTCACATCCGAGTCACCTCTATACACGCGAGCACCCCCGTCACATCCGAGTCACCTCTATACACGCGAGCACCCCCGTCACATCCGAGTCACCTCTATACACGCGAGCACCCCCGTCACATCCGAGTCACCTCTATACACGCGAGCACCCCCGTCACATCCGAGTCACCTCTATACACGCGAGCACCCCCGTCACATCCGAGTCACCTCTATACACGCGAGCACCCCCGTCACATCCGAGTCACCTCTATACACGCGAGCCCCCCGTCACATCCGAGTCACCTCTATACACGCGAGCACCCCCCCCCCGTCACATCCGAGTCACCTCTACACACAGGAGCCCCCCCCATCACATTCGAGTCTCCTCTATACACGCTAGCCCCCCCCCCCCGTCACATCCGAGTCTCCGCTATGCACGCGAGCCCCCGTCGCATCCGAGTCTCCTCTATGCACGCGGGCGCCCCGTCGCATCCGAGTCTCCTCTATGCACGCGGGCGCCCCGTCGCATCCGAGTCTCCTCTATGCACGCGGGCGCCCCGTCGCATCCGAGTCTCCTCTATGCACGCGGGGCGCCCCGTCGCATCCGAGTCTCCTCTATGCACGCGGGCGCCCCGTCGCATCCGAGTCTCCTCTATGCACGCGGGCGCCCCGTCGCATCCGAGTCTCCTCTATGCACGCGGGCGCCCCGTCGCATCCGAGTCTCCTCTATGCACGCGGGCGCCCCGTCGCATCCGAGTCTCCTCTATGCACGCGGGCGCCCCGTCGCATCCGAGTCTCCTCTATGCACGCGGGCGCCCCGTCGCATCCGAGTCTCCTCTATGCACGCGGGCGCCCCGTCGCATCCGAGTCTCCTCTATGCACGCGGGCGCCCCGTCGCATCCGAGTCTCCTCTATGCACGCGGGCGCCCCGTCGCATCCGAGTCTCCTCTATGCACGCGGGCGCCCCGTCGCATCCGAGTCTCCTCTATGCACGCGGGCGCCCCGTCGCATCCGAGTCTCCTCTATGCACGCGGGCGCCCCGTCGCATCCGAGTCTCCTCTATGCACGCGGGCGCCCCGTCGCATCCGAGTCTCCTCTATGCACGCGGGCGCCCCGTCGCATCCGAGTCTCCTCTATGCACGCGGGCGCCCCGTCGCATCCGAGTCTCCTCTATGCACGCGGGCGCCCCGTCGCATCCGAGTCTCCTCTATGCACGCGGGCGCCCCGTCGCATCCGAGTCTCCTCTATGCACGCGGGCGCCCCGTCGCATCCGAGTCTCCTCTATGCACGCGGGCGCCCCGTCGCATCCGAGTCTCCTCTATGCACGCGGGCGCCCCGTCGCATCCGAGTCTCCTCTATGCACGCGGGCGCCCCGTCGCATCCGAGTCTCCTCTATGCACGCGGGCGCCCCGTCGCATCCGAGTCTCCTCTATGCACGCGGGCGCCCCGTCGCATCCGAGTCTCCTCTATGCACGCGGGCGCCCCGTCGCATCCGAGTCTCCTCTATGCACGCGGGCGCCCCGTCGCATCCGAGTCTCCTCTATGCACGCGGGCGCCCCGTCGCATCCGAGTCTCCTCTATGCACGCGGGCGCCCCGTCGCATCCGAGTCTCCTCTATGCACTCGGGCGCCCCGTCGCATCCGAGTCTCCTCTATGCACTCGGGCGCCCCGTCGCATCCGAGTCTCCTCTATGCACTCGGGCGCCCCGTCGCATCCGAGTCTCCTCTATGCACGCGGGCGCCCCGTCGCATCCGAGTCTCCTCTATGCACGCGGGCGCCCCGTCGCATCCGAGTCTCCTCTATGCACGCGGGCGCCCCCGTCGCATCCGAGTCTCCTCTATGCACGCGGGCGCCCCGTCGCATCCGAGTCTCCTCTATGCACGCGGGCGCCCCGTCGCATCCGAGTCTCCTCTATGCACGCGGGCGCCCCGTCGCATCCGAGTCTCCTCTATGCACGCGGGCGCCCCGTCGCATCCGAGTCTCCTCTATGCACGCGGGCGCCCCGTCGCATCCGAGTCTCCTCTATGCACGCGGGCCCCCCGTCGCATCCGTGTCGCCTCTATACACGCGAGCCCCCCGTCACATCCGTGTCGCCTCTATACACGAGAGCCCCCCATTACATCAGAGTCACCTCTATACATAACAGACCCCCCCCCCCCACAACAGAGGCCTCCCTATACATTAGAGCTCCCATCACATCTGAGTCACCTCTCTACATGAGAGCCCCCCATCAAATCCGAGTCACCTCTCTACATGAGATTCCCCCCCCCATCACATCCGAGTCACCTCTATACATGAGAGCGCCCCCCCCCCCCCCCCCCATCACATCCGATTCCCCTTTATACATGGGAGGCCTCCTTGTACATGAGATTCCCCCCATCACATCTGAGTCACCTCTGTACATGACATGAGAGGCCCCCCCCATCTCATTTGAGTCACCTCTATACATGGATGTGTATGTATATGTTTAGTTCCTATTTAAACTTCAATAACTGGACCTCAATTTCCTCAGCTGAAATTCTGGAGATATACCTTGGTCAGGGAGCATCTTGGGCTGTAATTGGATAGTGAAGGAGCAGCACACTGACCCCTGTGTTCTTACCTCTAATCACCCAGCCCCTTCCCATCATACCATGAACAAAATGCTGGTTGCTTATTGCCTGTTTCCTTTCAGTCTTAATCCTGGATTGTAGGGAACCACAGGAATATAAAAACAGTTATTGTTTTAATCGCCCCAGAGTTTCCAGATCTACCTTATATTCTCATAAACTGCAGGGTGGCTTGGGAGTTCCTAACTTTTCCAAATATTATTTGGTGGCTCAAAGCTTTCAGCTGTCCATGCTCCACTCCATGACTGATATTCCACTCTGGGTACTTCTGGAACTGCCTAACTGTGCCCCGATTTCCTTGCATTCCTTGCTTTTGCTTCCACATAAATTGTGCCCCTTGACTTTGAGCCCTATTATGCTTCATAGCCTGTGGACGTGGGACTGTTAGATATTTGGGCAACCTAATGTCCCCTTTTCTTCCTCTTCTGCCGATCACTCATAATCATCTTACCCCCAAGATTTGAACACCCTCATTCTTTCTCCTGGTGGACCTGTCACAGTTTTATGAAGGTGCACAGCTTTCTAACCACCTGCTCATTTCCATCCTGGGAGACCCTCCAGGAGACACAAGATCCACAACAGGGACACTACCATTATCTGTAACTACGACATTGGATTTCGTCCCTCCGACACACCTCCACACATCCTTATTGCAAAACGTTCTTTGAGCACTTGTCAGCATTCTCTGGGATCCCCTGGTCTCATCTTGACACTTATGCCTCTCTTGACAGCAGAACTTCCCTAACATCTCTTGCTTATGTGGCTCAATGGGAGCGAGATCTTGATTCACCTTTCGAGGGAGAGGACTGGAGCAAGACTTGGAAGATGGTGGCGAAGTGCTCTTTCAATATCACTACCCTAGAGGCCACCTACAAAGTTCTCCTGTGGTGGTACTGGGTCAGATTGCTAACAGCTACCTCAGTAGTTACAGGTGTTTCAGGAACTGTGGTCAGTGTGTGGACGTTCTGCATATATGGGGGCTGTGCCCAATTTTGATAGGTTTCTGGTCTAGGTTTTTTGGCCTGCTGCAAAAGCTGTTTCATATAATGTGCGCAAGGATGCCAGATTGCCCCACACTGGGCCTTTACACACCCCAGCAGAAATTGGCTTCCTATCTTTTTATCTGCACCAAACATACAATAGCTCAGGCTTGGAAGACCTCCTGTGTGGCTTTTCAGGGTTTGAAAACCTGGATGACTGCCATGATGATCAATGAACCGATGTCCAGCATCCTCAAAGATTCACATCCGAAATTCAAAGTTTTGGAACCCTGGATAAACTATTCCTTCCCAGTCTTACCTCCCACCAGTTATGACCTCTTATAGTTGCTGCCCATGCCAGTCCTGGGTCCGTGATACCCTTCCTTTTCTGACTTTTCAATCTGTGTACTTCCTTCTTTCCTCTTTTTAGGCTGATACTTATAAGTGGGGATTACTACCTCTTGAAGGACAATTGGACGATGATGGTATCATTGGTTTTGATTTTTCTACAAGCTTTCCTTGGTTATGGTTAGAACTACACTGACTTATCATTGCATGTTGCCGACTTGTATCACCTTTTGTGATTGTTTAGCTCTGCCCTGCGCATGCGAATCGTGAGCTGGAAAAACAGTTGTTTAAAACATTAAAATATTATGGATTTTTGAAACGTAAATATAACTGGTTAAATTGGAGGATTTATATTTGCAGTTACTGCTTCTTTACATAAATTCAGTAGATTCTATATTCTGAAGCGCAGTGAAGAACCAAAACGTTAAGATCACACTATACAGTGCATTCACTGGACAGTAACCACTGCAGCTGTTAACATCAAGTAGATGAATCCAGTAACTCTAGAGAAGAACAAAGCGCTATGGTGAATGTAGTAATGTAAAAAACCCACTAGGGAGTGTCTGGGTCAGGATGGACGGCCTGTCCGCTCAGAAGGAATGCAGTATGGTGGTGAGATGAGATGCGCCTGTCAAATGCAGGGACCACGTGATAGTGGCGTCCTGGGATGACGTCACCGCAGTATCCAGGACACGGAGGGGAAGACCAACATATGGCCGCAAGCTGAAGCAGAAGGCCTTTTGGTAGATACATTGACGACATTCTGCTGATTTGGGATGGCGCTTTAGATACATTTTTATAATTTGTGGAACATTGTAATTCCAATACTTTTGGGTTATTCTTCACCTATGTTTTCAACCCACACAATATTGTCTTTTTAGATTTAAACCTATCAGCAGAAGATGGTCAGATCTGCACTACTAATCACATAAAACCTACGGGGGCAACTCGTATCTACACTACTCAAGTTGTCGTCACCTGGCCTGGAAGAACAATATTCCAAATGGCCAATTCCATAAGTTGATGAGGAATTGTTCTAGGCTCGATGATTACCACATGCAAGGTGCCCTGTTGTCAGCTAAGTTTTTAGAAAAAGGTTATTCCCCCTACCCTGATTGACGAAGCCTTTATAAAACATGGTGGGTCTAATGAGGCACCTAAAACCAAAGCCCGAGACCAATCCAACACAGTGAGGTTTGTCACAGGACTCAGTGTAGCACACCGGGGTATCACCAAAATCATACGTAAACACTGGCACCTTGATCCTAGACTGGCTCCGTCTCTTCTCCATGCTCCCCTTATGAAGCGCATGCGCACGAAACAAGTCCTGGTAACCAGCCTTGCTGTTCAGCTTGCGGCCGTATGTTGGTCTTCCTCTCCATCTCCTGGATATCAAAGGTGACGCAATCCCGAGACGCCGCAATCACGTGGTCCCTGCATTTGACAGGGGCATCTCATCTCACCACCACACTGCATTCTTTCTGAGCGGACGGGCCATCCATCCAGACCCAGACATCCCCTTCAAACCACAGGCTTGTGCTTTTATGTGTACTCACAGTTTTATCTTAATAAAGGTACACCCCCTAGTTACATTACTACAACCACCACAGTGCTGTGTTCTTCTCTGGAGTTTACATAAATCCAATAATCAAAGTATACCTAAAGGCATAACTTTTTATTTTATTTTAGAACCCGTCAGGTTTTTATTGCTGTCTGTGCCCCCATTACGGAGGTTCACTCCCTCTCTTTGTTCTGTTTACCGTTAACACATGCCAGCAGCAGGTTTATGGTAATGAGGGGTTTTAATTGATTGAAAGATGTCCTGAACACACCATCTCCATCCTATCTCTGTAGTGGCTGGCCTGTATATTCTCTCATCTTGATCCTCCATCTGTATGTGACCTCCTCCTCTCTTGTGTACCGCTACAAAGTGCCATGTTTTAACCCCCTAAATACCAGCTTGTTTCTTCACATTTTTTGCCAAATTCTTTTGAAATTGATCACATTGGGTGTCTATTTTTTAAAAAAAGGGTTCATTTTGAGGGGGTTGACTTTTTAAAGTTAATTCACTTCAATGGAAAGCCTGTATTTAGCTTGTCAAACTATTGACAGGCTCTCCTATTGAAATAAACAGAGTTCAGACTGTATGGGCTGAGGATTAGGGATTGGTAGATATTGTAGAGTTGATACACAACATTATTATACAGGATTTATATAGCGCCAACAGTTTGCACAGCGCTTTACAAAATGAACATCAGGAAAGTCACACAGCAAAGATTGTCGGGGACTTGCATTTCAGGTAAGTATGTAATATGGCAGAAGGGGGCCCTAAGAAAAGTATCAACCACAAGTGCACTTATCTTTTTATAAAATCTCAGGGGACCACAACGGTAAGATATTCTCTCCTCCTTTTAGGTTGGCACTTTCACTCCTAGCATCGTAACAGCTGTCCCTTGGCTATATGGCAGAAATATCCAGGGAGAAACTAATGGGATTTACTGTAGACAGAAAGTTAAATGAGGAATGGAACAGCGGTCTTGAGAGATGGGCTGGTCCTTTGGTTGCACATCCAAAGCTTTAAGATTTACCCACTTCCAAAATGAATAATGTAATTGCTGGTCTTTTTTAACAGGGTAGTAAGTCTAAGTGGAATCTCAGTGAAAGAAGAGTAAACATTTTGTAAAGATTTACCCTTTAAAATACAAATACAAACATTGTGCCATACTGTTCTGTTAACTGGAAAGCACCATATGCTAAACATTCTAATACTTTTTTCAGGATCATTGAGTTTTGAGCACTTCCAAGCTGCTGCGCAGGCACTGAAAGACCAACCCTTATCATCGTCTGTTCCACCTACCACCAAAGTTACAGGTCAGTACTACCAGCTCCAGGTTGGCACACACAGATCTGTGTGAACTTTGAAATGCACTCCATGTCCCCCTTTTTTGTGGGGGTGGGTGTATTTTACAGATCTTTATTCATTGCCTACACTAAGTAGTGCATGGTGCATATCTAATTCTTTAGCTAGTGTTTGGCTTTAAAGCTTAAAGTGGTTGTAAACCTCAGACATGAAATATGGGCTCATATCCCACTATAGTATACACTTGTCTCAATCCAGAGTACTGAGTGTCATTTAAGTCCACTGCCTCATTAATCTGCTATAAGCATGAGTCACGTCTGATTAATTTTTCTGACACCAAGAGAAAAAATGGTGATGTGGAGGGCACAGTCTGTGATTTATAACGTCAGCTCTGTTGCTGTGTGAAGGGGGGGGCGGGGGGGCTTCCCTTCCCTCAGCTCTTTTCAGAACTGAGAGATCCTGTGTAGATTCTTCACTTTGAATGGATGTAGGGGAAAGAGAACTGCAGATAAACAGGTACAACGTATGTAGGAGGATTTGTTTCATCTCTGTATCACCTGAGGCAAGTCACTTCACTGAGTTTATGTAAGGGTTTACAACCACTTTAATTTTGGTGAAAAAAATGCTTTTTGGAACAAGAATGGGCGCTGCCTTTTAAAGTCCTTCTTATTGTGTTTCATGCCTCTGGGGTGGAGTCATGCTCTTTTATGTGATTTCCTGAAAACAGAGTAACCGGTAAGTCCAAAGCTGGCCATACATTGATCGAAATCCGGCTGGTTCAGTAGGGACCAGTTGAATTTTGATCCATGTATGGGCAGGCTGGTTGTACACAAGTCAATCTATCAATTGACTTGTGTACAACCAGCCTGTCGGATATTTTTCTGAACAGTCGGTGCCATCTTCTATAGCTGGCAACACTAATCATTGTATTCTGATGGAGGGGATGGCTGTCAGATTGCAATACCACAGTGGAAAGGATTCCCCCATCCACATAAAATGGATGGAGGAATCAGATCATTTTTTTTTTGTTCGTTTAAACCCAATGGTTGAATGAAAAAAATGATCAATGCATAGGCTGCTTAGCTTTTGATTTTAACTAAACCGAAGATTTAAATATTGTAACGGCGCAGAGACATCAGTACACAGGGCATCTAGTTTTGGAGTTTTTACAATCCGTCATGTACATGTTTATAATACATAAAGAATATATCCCCTAATGAGTTTTATTTTGGATAATAGAAGAAACATTGTTTCCTAAATTTGACTGTTTTCTCTTTTCAGAAGTCACACCGACTCCTGGTTATATAGCTAAATGTCCAAGCAATGACCTCTGCACCAAGTTACCTGCTGACTGTATGACGTGCAAAACAAACCATTCTTGTATATATGGAAAACCTGTCATTTTTGACTGTACATCTAAACCTCATGTTATGTGTGTGGTAAGAAAATACTACATGTATGTTGAAAGCTTGAAAATATACATTCTTAGATCTAATGAGTATATCATGTATCATTGTTTAAATGTTTTGCCTTTGCTGTTGCCCTGCCATTTCTCTGCCATTGCCCATGTCATTGCCTTTCCTCTGGTTTTCTACTCTTGCTCTCTATACTTGTATCTCAGTTTGTACTTGTTCCAGCTCCATCATTTAAAAAGAGCTGAAGCCAGGGCTGTTAGGGCCGCTTCCCTCCATAAATTGCACAGTAATGCGCTGTGCTATCCTGTGCGATTCACAAGTGATCCTGGTGCAGTGCACTTTCATCACCAGACTGCACCAAAAGTAGTGTATGCACTACTGTAACATGAAATCCGGTGCAGGCAAATGCACTGCGTTTGCAACCTGCGTTTGGGGTGTCATTAACCACTTCAGTATCGGGCGCTTTTGCCCCTTCCTGCCCAGAACAATTTTCAGTTTTCAGCGTTGTCACAATATGAATAACAATTGTGCAGTCATAGAACACTACCCAAATGACATTTTTATCATTTTTTTTACACAAATGGAGCTTTCTTTTGCTGGTATTTATTCACCAGTGGGCTTATTTTTTTGCTAAATCGAAAAAAGACTGAAAATTTTGAAAAACAAAATGTTTTTCTTCATTTCTATTTTAATAAATTTTGCAAATAAATGATTGTTCTTCATAAATTTAGGCCAAAGTGTATTCTGCTACATTTCTTTGTCCACAAACTATGGTATATATCTGAAAAATCGATCAATCCTGATGTCCTAATTTCTTGAGGCCCGAAAATGTCAGGACAGTGCAAATGACCCCTTTTTTGAAAGGAGACAATCTGAGGTATTTAGTAAGAGGCATGGCAAAATTTTTGAAGTTGCAATTGTTTTTTTATTTTTATTAATTACATTTTTTTCTTCTTTTTTTATGAATATTTTATTTCTTTTTTAACAAACTGTGACCAGGGCAATACAATGTTACCATAGTAACCTTGTACTACTCTGGGGAAGTGATCAGGATTTTTATTTTATTTATTTTTTTTACACATTATGATTGCGTATAGCAGTGAATTTCATTGTTATAGGCAAGCATTTTACTGAATTAAATCAATGAATTCAATAAGTATTGTTGTGATTAGCTGTGATTGGCCACAGCTAATCACATGGTACAGATGGGCTGTAATTGGCTCTGTACCAAGTGATCACTGTGACCAATCGCTGCTAACAACAACAATTGTACACAATGAATGGTATGAAAGAAAGCCATTCATTGTTTACAATTGTCATGTTATATGCTGTCACTGCAATCACGTGGTACCGATAGTGGGTTGGTACAGTGATCTGTCATCGGTTGTGTCCGGTAGAAACAGCAGGTGACAGATTGCAGCTGCGTACAAGGCACGCTTCAGTAGGACATCATATGCTGTCCATCCGGAACAATGAAAGTCTCGCCCTGCCGTCATATTGTAATAGGCGGGCGGGAACTGGATAACACTCACACTGACCAATCAAAATATGATTATAGCCGTGATCAAAGTATCTCAGCGCTGCTGATCAATGCTGGCCAGTTTGATTTGGTCTGATTGAATCTGAAATGGAGTCTAAATTGTTCGGATGGGAAGTAATGGCTATATTATTGTTTGCGGATTTGTTTTGCACATTGAATCAAAACATTTGAAGCAATGTTGGGCACCATTAGTGATGCTTACAGTAGTAGTAGAATCCATTCATTTTGGTCATGTACCTTTCTCTGTTTTTTCCTTTTGGGACAGTACTGCCATTGGGAAGTTGCTCAAAGTAACATTTCTGCTGGCTGGCCATGTCTCTGAAGATGGATGTGGTAACATCATGACATTACCACATCACTTTATTGCTGCTGGTGACACTGGGGTTGATTTACTAAAACTAGAGTGCAAAATCTGGTGCAGTTCTGCATAGAAAGCAATCAGTATCCAGGTTTGTATGACAGATGAATTGAAAAAGCTGAAATTAGAAGCTGATTGGATACTATGTACAGCTTTACCATATTTGCACTTTCCAGTTTTAGTAAATCATCCCTACTATGCCATGATATGGCAGACATCCTTTTGTTACAGATGTTTGTAAAATTCTGTTTTGTTTTTTTTTTCATACCTATAAAACTACATGTATAGTCTTCAGGGGCTTAATTAGCTGTGTATCCTCCTAACGGACCTTAATCGTCATTTTGTGCACAGGATGACAACCATCAAAGACAGGAAAATTTCACTATAAGCATGACCTGTCAGTTTTGCTGGCAGCTCCCCGCGCCTTCCGATTACGAGTGCAGTAAATCTAATTCCAGCATCTGCAAGACTGTGGCCTGTCCTCGACAACGTTACAATGCCACCTGCAGTGTAAAGGACCATGTGCATTGTTTAGGTATGTGAACGCACCATCAGGATTATGTCATTATGTCAAGGACTAGCACACACAGGACCGTGACGGAGAAGTATATTGTGCTTGTTTAAAGATACAGTAACCTTTCACCATGCACTTGTATGTATTGAAGAGCTTATCATGTGTCATTAATCTAATCATATTAGGATACTGAGTGTATCTAATATCTAAGCTTTCAAAACTTTAGATTTCCTTTAAACGGCATTCCCAGAAAATATGAACACCCGCAGAGCATTTTCAGAGACTATTTTGCAGTAACAGAATAGACTAAAATCTGCTCTAAGGTGTGTGTGTGATGCCCATCTGAGAGTTTATTTTTTTTAAATAACGACCCATCCAGCTTACACCACAGATTCTTTAAAGTGGTTTCTTATCCTTGCTTCTCTGACAGTAAAGAACCCCTTACACAGTTTAAGGTTAAACTGTTCTCCTCCATTCAGTACTGCACAGATACAGCCCAATAGAACAGAACCATTTGTTCCAGTCTTTATGTAAACCACTCAGGCTGGCTGTATATATAAATATGGATTCTTCAGTACCTTATCAGAAGTTAAAGTGGTTGTAACCTCTTACATATACCTAGTGAAGTGACTGGCCTCAGGCGATACACAGAAATGAAACAAATCCTCCTACAGTTGTATCTGTTTATCTACAGCTGTCTTTCCCCTACATCTACTCAAAGTGCAGAATTTACACAGGATCTCTCAGGTCTTAAAAGCAGGGGGTGGGGGGCTGAAGTTACATCAGTCAGGGGAGCTCTGAGAGCTGATTGGAGGGAAGGGACCCCCCTTTATACAGCACACAGAAACAGAGCTGAGGCTGTCAAGCACAGGCTGTGCCCTCCCCTGTCACTATTATTCTATTGGTGTCAGGAAAATGTGTGTGTGTGTGTGTGTGTGTGTGTGTGTGTGTGTGTGTGTGTGTGTGTGTGTGTGTGTACATGCCGTGTACTCTGGCAAAAGGTAACTTTTCAAAAACTTCTATGTTCAACATGGTATAGCTAGTAATATGTAGTGTTTAATTTGCAGGTAGACGTGTGTTCCCAAAGATGTGTTATATTGTAACTGGACCGGGGGTTACAAATGGTCCACGGCACTTGCACTAAGGTAATGGTAACATTTTGTTGTATTTTGAAACTACTACTGCATATGTTTTATCCTTCATACAACATTATAGAACAAAAGGTCAACCTGCAGGCAGGTATGAAAAACACACACACACACAATTTAATTCAGCATTTATGAAAAATGTTACTAAACCGTCCCCTGATTTAGGCTACAGACGATGCTGTGGGCAGGACTTGGCCAGGTTCTGATTGATAGCCAACCCCCTGTGATATTCCCCCCACCCCTCTGTAGTGCAAGCCAGCACATCCTCCATGAGAGTGACAACTCTGCTCTGAATTCAGAAACGGTGCAGCATCCTTGCCACACCACACAAGCTTCGTTAAGTGGACTTCACTGGCAGGCTTAATGGGTATTTTTGGAACTTTGCAGAGGGACTAAAAAGACTGTTAGTGTAGCTGCACTTTTAATTACCTGAGGCAAAAACATTACGTTTTAAAGGAAGGCCATAGTTGTAACAGACACCCATAATGGCACAGGACGGGGCAATCTACATTTAGTAACAAGAGACACACAGGTATTCAAACTTCACACCAGCAGACAGTCCCATCAGGAGGGAGGGCTGCTGGAGACCCCCCCCCCCCCCCCCACCCCACCCCCCCACCACTAAGCTTATACACATAAACGCATACATCCCATAATAGTTTGCTCCCAAGCCAGACAAACAATAGAACAATGGGATGCAGCCACATAACATTGAACAATTAACAACCCCCCCCCCCACCTATCTCCTAAACATGTCTACACAGTCTGAGACAAAGCTCACACTATTAAGACAGATCACCCTGTACTCCTAACAGACACAGGGTGATTTACACATGTGGGATGTGGGGAGGTGAGACAAGGGTCTCCCCACCTCTCCAAAGTGAGCTGGGTTCCATGGGCCCCCCACCCAAAGTGACTCCTGTCACAATAGTTCTAATTTTAATGGAGTGAGCTTCCATCTAAATATACTGTCTGTGAAAGCAACCTGACTTTTTTTTCATTTTGTTCCTATTAGAGCCCATTATTTTATTATCCCTTAATTTATCCTAAATTACTGATTAACCCTAATTCAAGCGGAGCTCCAATCTATTCTGAAAAAAATAAGTCAGCTGCTACAAAAACAGTAGCTGCTAACTTTGAAAAAAAAATGGCCACTCACCTGTCTCAGGATCTAGTGGTGTGCTCACCGCAGCTGGGTTCACCTGCCATCCTCTTGTACCCGGTGCCGGCATCTTAAATGTGGGCATCCAGTTGTGGCAGCTTGTGGCTTCACAGCTGGGTGCCTGCTGCGCATGTTTGAACAACGCTGCACATTGTGAATGGTCCCACAGTCTTCTGGGACTTGTCAAGGAGAACTTCTGCTTCCAATCGCCTAGCTGCCGGAGCAAAAGTGGGAAGCGGGTACCTGTCAAAATCTAAAGGTGCCAATACTTCTTTTGGGTGCAGCTCCGCTTTAATCCTTACTTCACCATCATCCACCGCCCTCCTTTCCCATAGCTAGAATTTTTCTGCTGACTTATTTTTGTTTTACTTCTATTTTATTCTAATCATTAAAGAAGTAATACTTAGGCCTCATGCAGACTACTGCTCTTAAACATGAGTTTTGGAGCTTTTAGCATTTTTTTTTTTTCTTTTTTTGCCGAAGCCTCTGAGCTCAACTCCATAAAAGCCATGTACACATAAGCTTTTATCAGAGTTTAGCAGCAGCAGAGTTTTGGGGCAGTTAAACATCCCTCTCCTGAGAACTGAGAAAAAAAAACACTAACTGCAGCAAAAACGTGTGTGAACATGCCTAAGTGCTAACTGTGTTTAACGCTTGGGCGTTTATTCATTTCAATGGCAAGTACTCTGACCAATGAAATGTATAAATGTCCAAGCGCTAAATGTCTGCTGCCAATAGAATAAAAGTTTCAGTGTTCATGGAGCCTTCACCTTCCCTTTTTTTTTTTATCAGCAACACATCGACGTACCACAGGACTACATTTCATTTTTGTTTCTTTTTGCCCCACAAAATTAAAAAAAAAAACCCTCATTTTATTTGTAAATAACTATGTGGTGATGCTCATAATTTGTGTCATTTGAAAAAAGACAAATATACGATAATGTTCATACTTTTTTTATACACCATAACACTTTTTTTTTTTTTTCTGTTAACGCCGAGTGTTATCACACGTAAATAAAGTGTTTTTTTTTTTATTTTTTATTTTTTTATAATGTGTTTTTTTAGGGTTTTTTTGGTATTATGGTGTATGGATTGCATAAAAAATAGTTTTTTTGCAAGATATCAAAAGAAAGCCTTGTCTTAAGAAAATGATATATTTATTACTTTGTGAGGCAATGATAAAATTGTCAGAGACACATAGCAGAATGTAGAAATTTCTCAGATAAATAGGGGTGTACAAGTGTGAGAGATGAAGTGATTAAAGAGACCCTGTTGCCAGACCATTCATTTTGACAGCAATCTTCCAATAGGATTATATGTGTGTTATTTATTGATCTCGAAGAGCAAAAAGTGACCATGAGTTACTACAAAAGAGTCATCGTAATAAAAAAGATAAAAGGTGAGATATCGTATAACATACACCATAGTAGACAAGAAGCACAAATAATATAGCGTAGAGCACAAGAGCATCTTGTCGTATTTAATGTATTGTATGCATGTTATTTAGCTCTAAAGGCCTCCCTTGTTTAGCCAACCAAAATTCCTGATGCTGCTGCTGGGTGCTGCCATCTTGGATGTGATGTCAGCAGACTCAGAGCTGTTACTTAAGTGACGCTCTATAACAAGGTTAGGCAAACTTGTCACTCCAGCTATGATAAACCTACAAATCTCATCATGCCTCTGGGAGTCATGCCTGTGGCTGTGAATCTTGCAATGTCTCATGGGATTTGTACTTTTACCATAGCTGCAGTGCTTAGGTTTCCTTTCCCTGCTCTGTACTTCTCCTCTTCACCCTGTGCCTGGCAGCTGTATAAAGGTTATGTAGTTAGGTGAGGAGAATAATTTGGCACACCCTGAAGAGGAAAGGGCAGTGGGATGCAAGGAAGAAGAGGGCTCTGCTTATGAATTGATTACTCTGGCACGTTGCAAATCAAATACTTAACTATTGAAAGGAAAACACCGCAAGTAAGGATTTAAAATCCAACTCTGGAAAAATGTTAAATTGTCCCTTGCAATGGAGCTGCAATTGCACTGCAAGGGTTAATTGTGTGCTTTGTCAAGGGGATAGGAGAAACCATTTTTCTTACCCCCAGCAGGCAGTCCTCCCTCACAATCCAGTGGTGGACTGTGCCTTAGTGTCCTCATGTCCAGTACAGGGTCATGGACCCTGCTCTGGTCTTTGATGTCAGGATCCTTGCTTGTTGGAGCACAGGGGAGCAGACACTGCAGGGACTGATCTAACAGCAGGAAGGAGGTTCAGGTAAGCAAATCTCGTTTATTGTTCCCCTAGACCTAAACAAGGTCCTTGTAGTGTGAGTACAGCCCCACTGAGAGATAATTTTTAAGTTTGGCTTTAAATTTCTTCTTTTTTTTTTTTTTTCCTGCAGTCTTACTAGTAATCAAGTTTGTGACAGGGTCTCTAATGTAAACCTGTCATGAAAAACAAATAGAGGCCACCAATACTGACTTCTCACGAATTACTTTGGTGCAATATTTTAACAACTAACCTTGAGCAAGCATGAAGATAATGAATTCTGATTTGCAGTATGTTTACACTGTGCCTTAGGAGGAAGACACAACCAGGCAACTTGCATTTTTATAGGCAGGTCATCAATGGCAGCCCCCATATTTTTTATAGCAGGTGTACTTTAAAGCCCATTTGCTTTTAGACCTAGATATGCTTTCTATCACATACCAGTGGATGTTTAGAACATTTAATATTTCTGTATGCTCTTGGATCATTATTGGAATCTGTTCATGGATGTAGTATGTTTTACATATGTTTCCAATTTTATGTTTTGCAGTATCACTCTTGGAGGATTTGGTGCTGATCGGTTTTACTTGGGCCAGTGGAGAGAAGGACTAGGGAAGTTGTTCAGTTTTGGAGGCCTGGGAATTTGGACTTTGATAGATGTGTTTTTAATTTGTGTTGGATATGTTGGACCTGCAGATGGATCTCTTTATATTTAGCTTATTGGCTGCAAAAGAGAGAACAAGCCCCAGCTTTTTCACAATGCTTCAGTTTGTTCTGTTTTGTATATTTTATATAATGTACAGTATCTGTACTTAATCTGCCTTTTCATTAAGGTCAAATTGACTCAAAAAACTTTGATGCTTCTTGGAACTTAAGTTAAAAGATTCCAGTTTTCCTTTCTTTGAACTGATGTAAGAAAAGAGTTCCTCTGAGCTTGTTATGTGTTTGAATGATGGCACCTCTGTATTGTCAAATTTTTGTTGTTTGAACCTTATTCTTTGTGTTTAATAGCTTTGGAGTTTCCAAATACAATAGTAATTAGAACAAAAATGTTACTCCTATCTGATATGGTTTAGGCCTTTTTCACATTGCATGGAATTAGGGAATGCACAGTATAAATGTATATGCACGATCACACTTGAATTCCTTTATCCACAGTACTGGAGGGAAAGATTGCAACCCCAACTCCATTTTGCTTTCAAATGAGTTCATAACTGAGAGAGCTGAGAAAAATAGAGCTGAGCTGGCTCCAGGTTGGTTCTACAACAAAACCATTCTCGACTTTGTTTTGTCATACAGCTTTTACAGAATGAAACCAAACCTCTATAACTTCCAAGTTCCTTTTTTCTTTGTTACACTTGTATATGCAAAAGAATACTTGAAAATAAATATTTATTGTAAATACATCTTAGGTGTGCATTGTTATTCATTTTTTTTTTTTCTTGTGCATGTAGGTCCTAAATCCGGTAATTCTAGGATGAATGGATAGATTAAACTGGAGCTGTACACACACACATCTCCTAATAGATATGTTATGCTTTATCAATAAATGTGCTGATTAGTAGAAATTGTGGGTAAAATGTTTTCTCTTTTCATGGTAGAATTTCTATAATATGCACAATATATTTTCTAACTTAATGCATTGGTGATATTTAAAGCTGATTTCCATGTTTCCTCTTATATTAAATAGTTTGTTTGGCCAAGTTGGTCCAAATAAAATATTTCCTTCAATAACTTTTGCAGTGACTCTAAGCACTGTATGAACTATATGTAGCTTCAGCTACATACAGTACACAATGCTGGGTTTCGGCTGTGAGACAGACTTCCTGTCTCACATCCAGAACTATACAGAGTCTGTCTGAGTGGGCTCAGCCATTCATAGACAGCTTTGTATCCTGTGAATGGTTACAAATCTTCCTCTGATTGGCTAAGGTGGAGAAGCAGGCTCATGATGTCACAATCTGACTCAGCCAATTAGAGGAAGCTTAGAAGAATACAAAGCTGTCTATGAATGGCTGAGCCTGCTCAGACTGAATCTGTATTGTTCCAGAGGTGAGATGGGAAGTCTCTGTCTCACAGCTGGAAGCAGGCACTGTGTACTGTATGTAGCTGAAGCTACATATAGCTCTTACAGTGCTTAGAGGCAGTGCAGCGCTTGGTGTAGGAAAGTGCGTGTGATATTTATTATATAATGTGGTTCAGTTCATCTTTATGAATGCTCCTACAAAATAGTGGGAAGTAACCAAGCACTGCACCAAAACTCATGTAGATATAAAGTGAGAGCAGAGTTTTTTACATTTCCCAGAGTCTTCTATATTTGAGCCAAACGTAAGACACTAGTATTGGTGACTATCAGTGATTTTGCTCACTCATTTCCTGTTGATGCTGTGGGACAGGAAGAGAAGGAAATTTTTCCCAGTGGGACACAGATGGTATGAAAAAATTGAAAGGGATTATACTCCTCCCTTAGATCTTGTTCACACTGGTGGTTGGCGATAAAAACATGGTTCATCCCCCAGCCTCTCCTCCCTTAAGCTGCAAAGGCAGCAGACTGGGATGAACCAATGTAGCTGTGCCTGACAGTCACTCTTATTCTGCAGGATTGTTATCCAGCTTTTCATTTTCTCTTGGCTCTTTATAATGTCGATGTTCAACTTAGAATTGCTCCATGAAGATTAAATGGCCATATAACACATGTACTGTACCTTGATAAATACATGCACCAGGTGTGACTTCTGTCCACACTTACTAGCCACCCTATGCAACTCATGGTGTCATTCAGCAACCCCCTGCTAAGTCTTGTGATTGCAAAGCCTGACTGGGAAACACTTCTGTGCTCTAATGCTGTCAAATATGTACATGGCATGAGTTACATGGTGTTACTAGTAAGTGACTGTCAGTCCCCAATGCTGCTTGCTGAACAACCAGAGTGTGCACCGATGTCACGCATACATTTATCAAGAAGAACTCCAGATATGATCTGTATTGCACGGTTACATTGGTTCAGTTTAGCACAGCAGAGGTACTGTATATCTCATACCTGAGGGACCACATGGGAAGCTGACAGTCTCTGTAGTAGTTGACGCTACGGTAGTAATAGCCATGATCTTTCAGGTTCTTTGCCGAGTGACTTCCCCTCTGCACACTGATCGCAGGGATTTGCTAGCTCTGCACTGTCACCATTCACAGAACATTCACCATTCAAATACACTGCAATCTATGAATGGCAGCGATGCAGAGCGAGTGCCCACCACAATCCCCCCCAGTCAGTGAGCAGAGGGGCAGCCGCTCACACAGGATCTGGATGATCGCTGCTATCACTGTAGTAGGGTCGACTACTACAGTGATTGCCAGCAGTCCATCAGGTATGAGATATGCATATTCTATGTTGTACCAGGCTGGAACAATGTATCTGTGTAATACCTGGTGTTTAACTGGTTCTGTGCACACTTGGGTTGTTCTTCAACCAGCATTGGGAATGGACAGCCATTTACCAGTGAGACCATGCAACTCATGATGTCATCCCCCCCAGCATGGGGCCTTTCAGTGACACCATGAGTTGCATGGTGGCATTGGTATATGGCTGTCAACTGCTGGCTGATTGCCTCCACACACACCCCAATGATGGCTGTACCCTGCCTTGCTTCTGTCGACAAGCATGGAGGGTGCTGCTGGGTAGACAGGAGAGAGGCCAACAACCATCTGTTCTTACTGTCCAGAAAGGGAGGCCTAAAATATCAGTTCCGGGTCCGTTTCACTTTCCCCAGCTGGAATTGGGGAAGAAGCTGATGAAATGTGATCTATATTCCATCAGTTTTATTATAGGACAGGTGAGACATTAGGAGTCTTTTAGACCCCTGATGTCTCATTAAAGGGAACCTTTCCCCAAAAATCATCACAGAGGACTTTTTCCCCAATGGATGAAAAAAGTTTATTAAAAAAGAAAAAAAAAAATGTAAAGTTCCACCCAAGAATTGAAAATCACGCTGTGAATGCATGTGTGAGGGAAGCCTGCACTTGGACATGTCGTTTGCGCTACATGTTACATATCGTTGTACACGGCATAGTGAGACCAATAATTCTAGTCTCATTATTTCCGGTTGACTCCAACCTAAGTTAAAGTGTCGCCTATAAAAAAAAAAAAAAATACATAGGATATCAAAACTTGTTACTGTTTTATGTTTTGACATGTTGGGTATCTACTTGTCACAACATCATGTTTGATCATCAGAACTAAAGTGATTTTGTAAACAAAAACAGCTCCGGCAGTGAAAGAGTTACTCTACAGGAGTGATGGTAGGCTGGCCTTCTACTTTCAGTGTGCTGGAGATCAGAGCCGCAGAATTCTCATTCAGACTAGTAGATCTGTGTATTCCTAGCTGTTCACACTGATCCCTATGCAGATCTCACACACAGTGTACGGGTAGCAGAGCCATGTCCCTCACATGTAGTGTGTAGGGGAGTGTGTGTCCTAACATGATCTGCGCTTCTCCAGTATCAGCAGTGTAGGCGGGATTAGAGCTCTCAGCCTATAAGGAGGAGGATAGAGGAGACCAATCAGCGGGTGCCTTCCTTCCTTGCTGTGTAAGTATTGCGGCGGAGGAGATGTGAGCGGAGCTCGGGGTGATCGGAGCGGGACGATGTCCGGGGAGGATCCGCACACCTTCTATCAGCTCCTTCCCAAAGTGGTGAGATCCTCCACATTACTATTTATACCAATCCAAAGGCTCCGCCCCTCACTGCTGCTCCAATCAGGAGTTCAGTCCAGGAATGGGGGGGATGTGTGTGTCGGGCTGTCAGCGGTGTGTATACTGCAGGTAATCCTGCTACATAGACCCCCAGAGATCTCATCTCTCTCCTCTGAGTCCTCTGATCAGCCTGTATGGAGCAGATCGGCATGTTCCAATGTTCCCATTCCCCTCTGTATTATCCAATGTACAAGAACAGGGGGACTACAGAGCATGTTGAGGTCACTTTTCAGAGGTGTTTGGCAGGAGGCAATATGATGCCCTCACACTGTGTTTGGGGCCGGTCAGTCCAGATGCGTTCCGGGTGCGTTTCTGCATGCGCATTTTTGGTGCATTCCAGTACGTTTAGAGGCAGGAAAAAATAAAAACCCCACTGCCATTGCGTCTGGGAGCAGCAGAGTTTTGGCAGAAGGAGTGAATACGTTTTGTGGTGTCCCAGGAGTTTTCTTGGGCATATTTTTTTTCATTTGGAGGAGGGGAGGTGCTGCGTACTCAGTTAATCACACCCTCTTGCCTGCATGTCTGATCGAAGGGCAGATGGATTCTAGGAAGTGAATACTACCTGAACCATCCCTTACTATAGGTGTGGCTAGAAATGCATGGGGGCAGAGGCGTCACTAGGGTTGGTGTCACCCGGTGTGGTAACATGTGGTGTCACCCCGGTCCCGGGCTCTGTGTTGGGAGATAGAAGGATGTCCTGTGCAGGGACCGGCCAGTGATGTGTGATGCAGAGGGGCGGCTGACATATAGAGTAGGAGCCGGGGGGGGGGGGGGCGGGCTCCACTCCGGTGTATCGGGGACAGGCAGGGTGTGAATTGGCCTGCAGCAGCTGCTGTAATCCCCGGGATCGGACAGCCCCCCCCCCTGCCGGGACCCCGACATCTCGCCCCTCACATGGCATAGCTGTTCCTGGGGCTGCAGGAGGGATGAGGAGCCCCCCAGTACCCGGGGGGAGGACGGGGGACACTCCACTGGGATGGATGACAGCCACTGACAGCTCTTCTTTTCATTTTGGTGTCACCCCCGGTGGTGGTGTCACTCGGTGCGGCCCGCACCTGCTAGTGACGCCACTACTTAGGGGGGATGTTTTTCAAAGTGATTTATCAAAAAAAAAAAAAATCATGGAGACATGGATGGATGGTTGAGTTGCTTTGAATATTAAAAAATAATGAAATAGTGTTTTCAGTTTGTGGTTCTCAAATACAGGTTTGTTCCACTTTCACATTTGAGTTTGACTTGCCTGGTCTAAAGCTTATGTTTATTGGTGATATCTATTGTTGCTGTAGGAGCTCCATGCCCATCTAAATGGTTCAATAAGTTCCTCCACCATGAAGAAACTGATGGCTCAAAAACCTCATCTTCAGGTCGAGAATGGGATGACCATGATAGACAAGGGACAGAAAAGAACCTTGGAGGAGTATGTTTCCTTTCCAGTGTTATTTCAATTAATATTTGTGCTGCATTGGTCCTATATACATTGGTCACTGTATATCATTTTTATTATTTTGTAGCTGGGAGCACAGCCTTATCTGTGCATTTTTTGAATGCATAATTTACATCTGTTTAGAATAAGTTCACATTGTTACAAAGAACTATTGTTGCATTATGAAATATTTATATTTAGTATTTCTACATTTACTTATATAGATGGCTGAAAATTGGAATTATACTGTTATGTGAATTTGATGTTACTGCCTTTGACATGTTTTACATCTCATTTATAACATATTATTTTTGCTTTGCAGATGTTTTCAGATGTTTCGAATAATCCACCAGATAACAGATACAGCTGAAGATATATTATTGGTATATATTGCACATTTTGTGGATAATATTTTCACTTGTTTGTATCTCACCTGCATTGGTGTATGTTGCTTTCTATGTGCCCTTGCGTTGATGTGCATAGACTGAAATGGTCTGTGAATGAGCCCTAAAACAGAACTGGGTTTGTTTGACTTTTGCCTGTTGATGTATTGACAATGTAGGTTACAAAAGATGTTATTAAGGAGTTTGCTGCAGACGGTGTTAAATACTTGGAGTTAAGAAGTACGCCAAGAGAGACCTCCACAGGTATACATCTTCTTTGCTACTCTTTTGTTTACAAACATATTTATATTCTCATAGTCTATAAGGGTGTGAGCATGTGGCTGATTACTGGCTGAAGCTGATTGTGGGTCAGCATGCTGGTGGGCTTAAACCCCAACTGCCCTACATCTATTGGGCTCCATCAGTGAGATCTTGTTGACGCTCTTGGATCTGCATCCCCTTAACTATGGAGTGTCACTTCTCTGCTCCATTTACCAAATTCTCCATAAAATAAAGAAAAACCCGAACAGTAGAGTAAGGCAGGCCATACATGATTCATTTTCTTTCAATCAACCAGCGGGTTGAACAAAAAAAAAAATCGATTCCACTGTACACACGTTTGAGGTGGATGGGGGGAATTCCTTAAGTGTATTCTGACAGTGGAAAGACTATAGCCAGAAGCACTGATCGAGTGAAAATTTTCCAACAGGCTGTTTGTACAGACGTCGATCGAGAGATTGGCTTCTGTACAAGCAGCCTGCCCATAGATGGATCAGAATTTGGCCAGGCCCTGCTGAACTGGCCAAATTTCCATCCATTTTTGGCCAATTGCATCAGGTGGACAGGGGGTCAGAAAATGAAGCTCAACAAACACATCTGTGGAGTTTCTGACAGACCGTAAAAGTCATCATGTTGACATCATAGTTCACATTAACAGTGTCTGGGCACTCCAAAATATCTGTCTTGGAAAAACTGGACCTTCAAAGTTTGACATGTAGAGTATTCTGTAGGGCAATATATCACTTTAAAGCAGAACTCCAGGTATGATCTTTATTGCATACCTACATTGGTCTACTTACATTGGTTCAAGCTGGACTAATCTAAATATATATATATATATATTATACCTGAGAGGCTGATGTGGAAGCAGAGAATCACTGTAATGACTGGCACTACTACAGTGATAGCCGTGATTGTCCAGGTTCACTGACCACGAGGGTCAGTCGCTCAGCACTGCCCCATGCATAAAATACCTTGTATTTTGTTTTATGAATACTATGGGGGTTACTTACTAAAACTGAAGAGTGCAAAATCTGGTACAACTCTGCACAACAACCAATCAGCTTCAAGGTTTCATTGTCAAAGCCTAATTGAACAAGCAGAAGTGAGAGGCTGATTGGCTAGCATGCACAGCTGCACCAGATTCTGAGTGCACCAACTTTAGTAAATCTACCCCTATGTATTATCTGATTGGACAAGGCGGAATGAAGGGTCGGTGATGCTACAATCCCCACCTCCTCCAGTTAGAGAATGCATTGATTTTATTAAAAATAATACAAGGTGTTCTGTGAATGGTGGCAATGCCAAGCAAGTGACCTCATGGTCAGTGGGCAGAGGGGAACCCAAGTGTTCATGGCAATCACTGTACTCGCAGCCCCAATAGGCCCTCCAGTATGAGATATGCATACTTATATTGTTCCAAGCTTATTTATTTTTTTACAGGTACTTATATAGCTCCATCAATTTACAAAGCACTTTACATATATATTGTACATTCACATCAGTCCCTAACCCTCATGGGGCACACAGTCTAAGGTCCCTAACTCACATTCATACATACTAGGGCCCCATCACATAGATTTGCTGGAAGGAGTAGAGCACCTCCTGTCCTCACCAAGAGCAAGACCAGACCCTGCCCGCTGCTGGCTATCATGCACATCCTGCTGGCATGGAAGGTATCGTACTGAGCATCACACACAGCAGATGGGTACTGGGACAAGGAGGCACAGGAGGAACTGCAGACAGGGACAGGCTAGGGGTCTCTCACACACATCCCCCCCTGTGACTCCCCTCCCTCTCTCTCACACCCCCTCTCTCTCTTTCTCATCCCCTCTCTTTGACTCCCCTCCATCTCTCTCACACCCCCTCTCTCTCTTTCTCATCCCCTCTCTTTGACTCCCCTCCCTCTCTCTCACACCCTCTTTCTCATCCCCTCTCTCTGACTCCCCTCCCTCTCTCTCACACCCCCTCTCTCTCTTTCTCATCCCCTCTCTCTGACTCCCCTCCTTCTTTCTCACACCCCCTCTCTCTTTCTCACTCCCTCTCTCTGACCCCCCTCCCTCTCTCTCTTACCCCCTCTCTCTCTCACCCCCCCTCACCCCTCTCTTTGAGATTGAGATGCCTGGATTTCAGTCCATGGACACCTCCACTCTTAACTGAAAGTCCAAGGATCTCTGTGTCTCCACCACCATGCAATAGTTCTACTTCATTCCTCCTCCACTGAAGCATGCAGCATGTATGATGGTGGAGATGCTGAGATTCCCTGGATTCTCAGTTAAGGCTGGAGGTGTGCACACTTCAGTGTAGGAGGAATTAAGTGGGACTATTGCATGGTGGTGGAGACTCCAAGGTTCCCTGGATTTTAATTGGGAGTAGTAGTGCCTTAACTTTGGTTTCAGCGGAAAGAATAACACATCAGCGTTTGCATCAGTGGGAGGAATTATACCCTGTCACTGGTATCAGTAAACGGAAAAATGCCCCATGCTTGGTGTCAGTGGGAGGAATAGTGCCCCATGCTTGGTGTCAGTGGAAGGAATAGTACCCCATGCTTGGCGTCAGTGGAAGGAATAGTACCCCATGCTTGTGTCAGAGGGAGGAATAGTGCCCCATGATTGGTGCCAGTGGGAGTAATAGTGCCCCACGCTTGGTGTCAGTGGGAGGAATAGTGCCCCATCATTAGTGTCAGTGGGAGGAATAGTGCCCCATCATTGGTATCAGTGGGAGGAATAACACCCCATCATTGGTATCAGTGGGAGGAATAGTGCCCCATGCTTGGTGTCAGTGGGAGGAATAGTGCCCCATCATTGGTGTCAGTGGGAGGAATAGTGCCCCATCATTGGTGTCAGTGGGAGGAATAGTGCCCCATCAGGGGTCAGTGGGAGGAATAGTACATAGCTTTATTATCTCAATTTAAACATAACAGCAATAGCTTAATAGCAATAGGGTGCAATAAGGCTTAGATTGTAAGCCTTATGCACCCATTGCTATTAAGCTATTGCTGTTATGTTTTAAATTAACATAGAGCTATGTTATAATTGCAGTTTTTTTATATTTTGGACTCTTTATTCTAAAGAAAAATGTAATTTCATAAGCTGTAAGGGGGCGTGGTTGGGGCATTGGGGGATGGTCCAGGGTGGGGATGGAGAGGCGGACCTGGGCAAGATTGGGTGGGGCAACTGGTGGAGAGTAAGGTTTGTGCCTGGCTAGTAGGTCTAGACTCTAAATTTTAAGCCCTGTCCTAAGCACCCCTTCACATTTATTACCACTTATGTAAGCAACATATTTTTCCAAACTATCTCTTGTGCTACATACTATAAACCATCTCAAGTCTATGATATACTGTATCATTAGCTGATTCCTTATGCTGAGAGCATGCATCTAATCAGGCAGAGGTACAGTTGTGTCCAAAATTATTCAACCCCCACTGAAATGTTTTTGGCCAGTTTGACATTGCTTTTGATCATTCAGTCATCTTGCTTACATTTACATAAAAGAGGCACTTGTAGGTCAGACAAATATAACATAACAGTTATAATGAAATAACCACAAATGTCTTTTCTGTGCTCACCAGCATTATCAGTTTTTATTCAACCCCCAAGTGACATTCAATCTTAGTACTTAGTACAGCATCCTTTTACATTATAACAGCTTTTAAAACGTGAAGCATAGCTTGACACAAGTGTCTTGCAGCGATCTACGGGTATCTTCGCCCATTCTTCATGGGCAAAGGCCTCCAGTTCAGTCACATTCTTAGGCTTGCGCACTGCAACTGCTTTCTTTAAGTCCCACCAGAGGTTCTCAATCGGATTTAAGTCTGGTGACTGCGATGGCCACTCCAAAAATGTTCCAGCCTTTCCTCTGCAACCATGCTCTATGGACTTGGAGGTATGCTTGGGATCATTGTCCTGTTGAAAGGTCCAACGTCTCCCAAGCCTCAGGTGTGTGACGGACTGCATCACGGGTTCCATCCAATATCTCCTGGTACTGAAGAGAATTCATGGTACCTTGCACACGCTGAAGCTTCCCTGTACCTGCAGAAGCAAAACAGCCCCAAAGCATGATTGACCCTCCACCATGCTTCACAGTTAGGCAAGGTGTTCTTTTCATCATAGGCCTTGTTCTTCCTCCTCCAAACATAGCGTTGATCCATGGGGCCCAAACAGTTCTAATTTTGTTTTCATCAGTCCACAAAAACACTATCCCACAACTTTTGTGGTTTGTCCACATGGCTTTTGGGCATACTGCAGTCGACTCTTCTTATTCTTTTGGAGACAGCAAGGGGTACGCCTGGGAGTTCTGGCACGGAGGCCTTCATTACGCAGTGTGCGTCTTACCTCTGGGCTGAAACTTCTGTACCCACATCTGACAAATCTTTTCTCAGTTCCTCAGCAGTCACACGGGGACTTCTCTCCACTCTACGCGCTTCAGGTAGCGCACAGCAGTCGAAGTCAGCATCTTCTTTTCTGCCACGACCAGGTAGCGTTTCAACAGTGCCCTTTGCCTTGAATTTGCGAATGATGCTTCCTAAGGTGTCTCTTGGTATGTTTAACATCTTTGCAATCTTTTATAGCCATTGCCCTTCCTGTGAAGAGAAATCACCTCTTCTCTTGTCTTCCTGGACCATTCTCTTGCCTTCACCATGTTTGTAACCACACCATAAATGTCTAGAATAGGAGTGCAAATCACAGTCATTTTAAGCTGCCTAATTGGTGCTAATTATGCTTGATTGCTGCTCTATGTTATAACATTGCACATTTATTTGTTTTCAATTCTGATAAAAATGTAATTATGAACCTTTGTTCTTCAGTGGTAGTCTTTAAGGGGGATTTTCCAGGGTGGGGATAACTGTGGCAAGAAGAAACAACATAAGTAAGGTTTGTGCCATTTACTACTAAATTTTAAACCCTTACATAAACAATTGATTACCACTCATTTAGTTGCATTTGGGTAGTTACAAACGTCTCTTGTGTACATTTGATAAAACTGAATATGAATTCCAAATGTATTATAGTCCCTAAACCCCTTACAGCATGGGGGAGCATGCATTTTGGATCAGGCAAGGTACCTCCTGGGGAACACGTACACTGGTAGTGTTGTACCTGTAGTAGATAATCTCAGTTATCAGTAAAAGACCTTCATGAGCAGGTTTGGTTTTGGAGTACATTTTTTGGTAATTTCTCTTCTATGTACTGTATATATGTTGTCCAACTGGCTTATATACCCCTGTGTTTGCATTCGGAGACATTTATCATGTTTTTTCCATCTATCATACAAATGTAATATCATTACCGCTTTACCTTGCAGGGATGACAAGAAGAACTTATGTTGAGACGGTGCTTGAAGGCATAAAACAGTGTAAAGAGGAGGAAGTGGACATTGATGTGAGGTATGATTGAGTGTATCTTGGTGGCAAAGTTGCTTTATTCACAAAGTTTTTTACATTAATAATAAATAACAAAACCATTACACATATTCTAATATTTTTATTTTAAGAATTAACATTCTCTGATAAAGTTAAAGCAGAACTTAACTGTATGTGAGCACCACAAAACCAAAAATGCTGTTTTATTCTTTTTTAATATTCATAGAAAATTCACCCATTCATCCTTGTTTCCTTGCTTTACTTCGTTGAGAAATCCCTTTGAAAACACCCCCTAGCATTTCTAGCTGTGGCATCTTGAGTAGATAATTAATGTAGCCTATATATTCTGGAATCCATCTGCCCTTAGCTCAGGCATGCAATCAGGAGGGAGTGTCTAGCTGAGAAAGCCCCTCCTCTTGATGAAAGAAAAAAATGATCCATGAAGACTCCTTGTTACGTGTTGCATCATTTCGGCCTAGGCCAGGAAACTGAAAGCAACTGAATAAATTTAAAAAAATACCCAAGGTTTAAAACAAGTAAATTTAATATACCTTCCTATCTATTTGCTAATACTAGCATCATAAGGATTAACCCCTTCCCCCTGCCACCTCCCAGCCCTTTAAGAGCTTTTAAATGTCAGGAGGCGGGCATTTTGGTCATGTGACCACTGTGATTGACTGTCAAAGTGGTCACATGACCAGAAAGTTCTCAATCGCTAGTATGCTTTGGGAGCTTTCCGGTCCCCACCGGTGTCTGCACTGGGAGCGCACAGGGCGCACGTTCTCAGCACAGAGGTGTTCATTTTCGTGTGCATATATGCAGCCTCTGGATGTTAAAGCCCACCCACCAAGAGGAAAACCCACCCGCTGAGAGGCTGCATATATGCACTACGTTGGCGGGAAGAGGTTAAAAATAGTTAATGTTGATTGAGAGAGTAAAGTTTGATATATATCCCAATATATCCACAAATTACATTTTTAAACCCTGTTTTTCAAGTGGCTGAGACAAGGCTGTCTCTTCAAAGTTGGGGTGTGTTGCAGATATGACATAGGCATGTGCTTATTTGTGTATCTATGCGGTTTTTGCTTATGTACTACATGGGATATGGTTGTGTGACAGTGAAATGGCAAAATCACTAGAAGAGAAATCAGATTAAAGGGTGCCTGGCGACCACAGGTTGGCCGAAAAAAGAATTCTAAAGACTTGGAGTATGTGGCAGCAGAATCTTTTACTTGCTATACACAGCTTATACTTGTGAACAGTGACTCCTACAATATGGGTTTAAAGGATAAGTTCACTTTTCTGGATAAAAATAATGAAGGCACATTTTTTTGCAGGTAAAAAAAATGTGCATTTATTATTTTTGTCGAAAGGAGCCTGGAAAGCATTGCACCAGCGATCAGCAGATTGCTGATGCCATGCAGGTCTCCTGCAGACCTGTCAGAATATCTGCTTGCCGTATGGGATGTACAGTCAAGCAGATATACTGACAGGAAGAATCAATGAACTACCATGGCGCTCTACAGCACTGTGGTAGTTCATTGAAAACTACAAGCCGACAGCCACTAAGGCAGTCGGGACTTGTAGGCACTCATTCACAGAACTCTGTGAATGAGTGAGGCGGCTGTGTGGGCAACGCCACGCCCTGCCACGCTGTTTTCAAGTCTGACAGATAGTACAGGCAAACTTCCCCGTACTATCTGTCAGAGGGAGGGGGCAATGGGCGCGGCTGCAGCAGCTATGGGAACATGTTACATGTTCCACCCTAAAAACATGTTCCAAAGGTGAACTTATCCTTTAAGTTCGATGTACAGAAGCTGCAGTGACATTTTTGTGACCTGTTGTGCTACTAAGTTTCCAATATTCCTATATTTGATTTTTTTTGTTTTTTCATATATGCCCAGCTGATCCTACTCTAGTTATATTGGCTTTTCTATATTATTTTGCTCTTATTACTGTAAATGTTTTTGATTAGCTCTCTCACAGAGGATCTTCAGTGACCCCCCCACAAAAAAAAAAAACTTAACAGTCAGCAGCTACAAATACTGTAGCTGCTTACTTTTAATAAAATTACACTTACCTGTCCTGAGATCCAGTGCTGTCCTGACCCTGGCTGGTTCTTTGCTGGTCTTCAGGTCCCTGGTGCCAGCATGTTTACAAGGGATGTCGGCTGTGACTCTTTGCAGCTTCATTGCAAGCTATCCACTGCTCACGCGTGACTGCACTTTGTGAACGGTCCCCGCAGCTTGTGAACTTCTGCTTGGATCATCTAGGGCTAGGCGATCTGGGCAGGAGTGGGAGCAAGTACCTGACAGAACCAGGTACCTGCTCCTCAAGAAAAAAAATTTAGCCAAAAGTGGTAAAGGAGAGGGAGACAAGTCGTAAAAGTGAAACAATTTTGATGAAGTTCCGCTTGAATTTGTCATCAGCAATTAGATAACTTGCAATTTGTCTATGTGATACATTACTTCTATGCATGCTATATTACAGGGACCTTGTTATATCTTTGCCTTTTGGCTGAATGTATACAACATAGGTGCATGTCTTTGTCAGCATTGATGTTGTTACTTTATGGCCAATTCAGTACAAATAAAAACTCTTTTTAATTAAAAAAATAAATGTGTCTGTACATTTTCATTTCCCACTGTTAAATAAGTACATACTGTATATAGATCATGTATTTATAAAAGAAAGATAGGAGTGTTGAAATTAGACACATGTTGGTAAATGTTTTCGCCTTTTAACCTGGCTGCATTTCAGGTTCTTGTTGGCCATTGACAGAAGAGGGGGTCCAACAGTTGCAAAAGAGACTGTCAAGCTTGCAGAAGAATATTTTTATGCCACCAATGATCAGGTTCTAGGTTTGGACCTCAGCGGAGACCCAACAGTGAGTTCAGCAAATACATTCCTTAATTAGTAGTGGTCAGGGGCGGACTGACAACTCATGGGGCCCCCGGGCAATAGGGGATCATGGGGCCCCTGTGTCCTTGCCCAAACTAAAAAAAGCCTATGAAAAAGGTACCAGGGCATCTTATGGGGCCCCCTACTGACCAGGGCCCTCGGGCAGTGCTCGAGTTTCCAAATGATCAGTCCGCCCCTGGTAGTGGTTCTATCTATGTGACATTTTGCATACTGATGAAAAATGTTGTAGATATTTTTTTAATTTATACTGTGATTTATTTGCTGTCTCTTGTGGATAAGTGAGAAACATTTTACATTTTTCTTTTGGCCTTTGTCTTTGTCAATAGTTGTTTTTGGAAGGCTTGCAAAAAAAAAACCACATAGTCTATAGTTCTATCAGAGTTGTGACGAGTGCACGGTATCAAAGGCAGTCACCTGGAGTATGGAGGACACAAAGGGTGTTGGAGGGCAAAGGAATGCAATCTTTTTTTTTTTGTTGTTGTAGATAAAATCCTATGCAAAAGGGCATGATGGCCCCCCTAGAATAGGTTTACATCAATGTGGAAAATAGAAATATTTCTCCTATAGCTACTAGAATTTATTACTTTCAGTCATAAAACATATCAAATAAAAATACTTGGAAAGTATGAGCACCCCCAAAATGAACCCTTTTTGGTAAATAGACACCCCAAGGTGATCTTTTTTTACGCACTTTTTTGGAGATGAAGAAACATGCTGGTATTGAGGGGATTAAACCATGGAGCTTGGTAAAGGTGCACTAGATACAACACATAGAGGTCATATACAGAGGGAGGAAGAGGTAAAGGGGTTAATGTACAGGGAAATTACTGTGGAAGAATGGAGATGACGATGTTATTGCGCAGAGCAATTACTGTGGAAGAATGGAGATGAGGATGTTATTGTGCAGATGTGCAAGATAAGGAAAGTGAAGGGTTTTTATACAAGTAACAGAAGAGATAGTATGGAGATCAGATGTGTGGTGGTGGATAGTGAAAGGGTTAAAAAATTACTGGAATCTGCTGCTGCCGATGATCTGTGCTGTTATCTGGAACCAATACACTTCATTAGTTCCTGTTTGCTCCCTTCTTCCATTGTAAGAGGAAGTGTGAGGCTCACACAAGTTAACTCTACACTCTACACACAACTTAACTCACACAAGTTAACTCTACACTAGGCTCACACAAGTTAACTCTACACTTTAACTCTCACACAAGTTAACTCTACTCTACACGCTCACACAAGTTAACTCTACACAAGTTAACTCTACACTTGGGATCACTATGACCATTCATAGTGATCCCAAGGTACAGAGCTGCTTGGATCTGCTCTATGCACAGTCAAACATTAATAGGCGCACTGGCTGCCCAATGGTTATTTCTGCGTGTTTATAAAGGACCCTGCAGAAACAAACTTCCAATTTTAGATATGCAGCGGAAGGTAAGCAGTTAAAGTGTATATCCAGTCAAATTTTTTTTCTTTAGTTTTGGATAGAGTGGGGAAGTGTTTTTTAATGTCTGTTTTTTAATGCTACATAGGGCTCTGTTAAAAAGATTTCCCCTCACTTCCTTTACTCTTGACAATGTTTTCACTAGACAGAAAGTGGGGAGGAATTTAGTATCAGAGGCACAAACAGAAATAAAATGTTTTTCTTTACTACAGTAGGGAAAAGTTAGAACAGTATTCAAATTTTTATTTCTGCCCATGTCCCTGTTGCAGATTTCCCCTCATTTCCTGTCTGATTAAACTGTTCAGCAAGACAGGAAGTGAGGGGAAATCTCTCTAACCAAGACTTGGATAGCTGTGAAAAGCCAAAAGGAGTTCTAATCTCTACCCGCGCTGTCTAAAACTAGAAAAATAATTGGCTTAACATACAATTTAACTCCTAACAAATGAAAAATGATAAACTACATATATGAAATGTAAATCCTTGCTGTAGTGAATGGTTTCATGTGAAGGAGATGTGATCCCTCTATTTTCCTCTAAATGTACACACTGTGCTATTTGGATGAAGCAATAACCTTGAGGAGGCCTCTCATATGTGGCCTGGTGTCATCTGCAGCCTTCATGACAAAAAAGAGCCTTATCTCCTATGTACCATCTGTTCTTGGAATATAGGATTAGTGAGATAATATGGAGAAACAAACACCATTTCTGGGTTTATGTAACCTACCTCGTGCTGCAGTTGTTTATGAATACATGTGAACTCTGTCTGATCCGCTGAGTGTTGGATGTTTGGCATTCACAAAGATTTTAAAGAAAATGCTCATCTAAAATAATATGGATATGACACACAGTGTTTCTCAGATGTGATCCCCCAAATGTTACAGCATGCATACAGTATATGTAAACCCAGTCACTAAAATCTCATGTAAGCTTTTATATTGATATCTTTTCAAAAATTGTTTGAATAATGTAACGTTTGCAGCTTTCGCTAAAATCCTGCCATGACGGTCTAGGTTCAGGCAGTTTCTGTTATAGGGTAACAACGCTCCATCCCTCTCTTGATTTGCTACTGCGTTGTCACTCTGTCACATGTACCTCTGATGGAGACTATATATGACCATACAGATATTGTCCCTTGTTGTCACTGTCAGGAAAGACTCCCTGAGAAATGCCTTACAATCATTGCTCGAGTACAGAAGAATTTGCTGCAAATAGGCTGCAGGAGATCAACAGCACTGATATGCAACAAAGAAAGAAAAACAGGGGTAAACAAATGTTTATTAAAAATAAAAAACAGTTTGTTTAAGGGAAATACATGTAAGGGATACCATCAACTTCATCTCCATGCTAAGGATACCATCAACTTCATCTCCATGCTAGGGATCAACTTCATCTCCATGGATACCATCAACTTCATCTCCATGCTAGGGATACCATCAACTTCATCTCCATGCTAAGGATACCATCAACTTCATCTCCATGCTAAGGATACCATCAACTTCATCTCCATGCTAAGGATACCATCAACTTCATCTCCATGCTAGGGATACCATCAACTTCATCTCCATGCTAGGGATACCATCAACTTCATCTCCATGCTAGGGATACCATCAACTTCATCTCCATGCTAAGGATACCATCAACTTCATCTCCATGCTAAGGATACCATCAACTTCATCTCCATGCTAGGGATACCATCAACTTCATCTCCATGCTAGGGATACCATCAACTTCATCTCCATGCTAGGGATACCATCAACTTCATCTCCATGCTAGGGATACCATCAACTTCATCTCCATGCTAGGGATATACCATCAACTTCATCTCCATGCTAGGGATACCATCAACTTAATCTCCCCCATCCAAATAGGTTTTGATGTGGTCAGGGATTGTGAAAAGATGAATGTATTTCTCTTCCTGAGTGAGGCTGGGTTCACACTAGCCCACAGTTTGCAGGCTGGTTGCGGGTGCAGGAATCTTGGTCTACAATAGTGTGAACATAGGTTAAGAAAGGGTATGTTTTGTAAATACAAATGTATGGAATTTGAACATAAGGAGGGACATTCATGTTCTTGGAAAATAAACTCTGAGATTTTATATACACATTTCTTTGGTAATCTGGCCATTTTTTAGAGTCACATTCCAGGCAATGCTCCGAGTCCAGGGCACTTCTTCTGGGTTGGATGTCTCACATAAGGATAGACTTGTTACTTCGTAATTTATTGACTCTGCAGCTTGCATCCAATAATTTGCTACCAATGCCAGCATGCTAACCTCACTCGGGGACAGGGCCTCTTTCTTGAGCCAGCCCTTAGGCCTCATTCACATGACAATATTGGCAGTGGTGGGGTAAGTATATTGTGGATATCTGCGGATGGGAGCCCAGAATTTTGCCTAGATCCAAGGCCAGGAAGCCTATCCAAGCTGACGGGAGACACGGCTGTCCATTGCTGTAAACATGAACTCGCACATCGATCTGTCACATGAACTTAGCTCACATAGTCGGTCCCTAGACACAATGGGGATGATTTACTAAAACTGGAGAGTGCAAAAAACTGGTGCAGCTGTGCATGGTAGCCAATCAGCTTCTAACTTCAGCTTGTTCAATGAAGCTTTGTCAGTAAACCATGGAAGCTGATTGGCCCATAAAAGAAAGTAGTGTTATCCTATGTGTTCATTTACACTATTGTAGGCTAATGCATTTTTCAAGCTTCCGCTTCTAGGAGCAAAAAATGCATTTTTGGGAGTGTCTCTGACAACGGATCCTTCAACAGCTGTCTGCTGAGTTTAAACAAAAGAAATGGCAATTAAAATTTGAGAGTAAAAACAGTGTGTGTGGGTTAACCCCCCCCCCCCCCCCCCACTAGGCCCTTCGGGTCTGAAATGGATTTTAGGGGAACCCCACACCAGAATAAAAGAAAAAAGTTGTGGGTCCCCCTGCCAAATCCATATGGATTTTGAGGAGAACCCCATGCCAAAATTTAAGAAAAAATGGCGTTAGGGTCCCACCTAAAAATCCATATCAGACCCTTAACTGAGCATACAGCCTTTCAGGCCAGGAAAGGGGGGGACAAGCAAGCACCCCCCTCCTCCTGAACCATACCAGACCCAACCCTGGGCGGTGGTTGTGGGGGTCTTCGGGCAGGGGTGTATTGGTATCTATTCCTATTCTTCTACTGACACTAACAACGAGGCATCATTCCTTCCACTGACACCAACAATGAGGCACTATTTCTTCCACTACTGACCACAGGAGCTATGTAATTGTTTTGACTGCCACTCACACTGGGGCATTTTCTACTGCCACTGGCCACATTCTGACCACCTTCCCCCCCCCCCCCAACACTTGAAGGACAGTAAACTGGCCCTTTGTTTAAAAAGTTTTGAGACCCCTGCCCTAGTAGACGTTTACCTGGCAGTGTTTATGAGTTCTTTAGGGAATCAGCAGCGAGCATAAATCAGTAAGATCCAATGTAAATCTTTACTAGACACTTTGGGATTGATTTGCTAAAGGCAAACTGTTCGATTTGCAAGGACATTTTCCCAGAGCTTAGTGAATGTGGTGAAGTCCTGCTGATGCCTATCATCCTATCACATGCAAGCAAAAATGCTGTTTTTTATTTTCCTTAGATGTGATTGGGTATTCTTTGCAAGTGAAATGATCCCAGTGTTTAGTAAATCGGGTAAAATTTGCATAGTGCATCTTCCCTTACAAAGTCAACATCCTATTTGCCTTTATTAACTCAACCCCATTCAGTACGGTTATTCTGAGGTCTGTAAGATACCTAGGTTTGGAAGCAATTGCAGACTGATCATTTTGTATCGGTAGATGACTTTGACTAATGAGTGGAGTCCACTAAGTACAGTCACTGAATTGGAAGGTGTAGTGTATGGGTACAGATGCTGCTAATGCTTCACATATTATGAATGTGAGATAACATTTTTTTCTGCCTATTTACTGAATATTATGATTGTTTACAGGTTGGACATGGAAAAGACTTCATGGAAGCTCTCGTGGAAGCTAAGAATTCTGGCCTGAAATTGGCTCTTCATTTATCAGAGGTACGAAGGGATGACAGAATCAGAAGAATAATATGAATTATATTTGCTAATCTTGCCATGGAGAACTGTCTGATATGGAAGAATCATGTAATTTTGCTAATTATTTTGCTCATTAGTGGATATAAAGTGGGATCAGTTCAGGGTTGCTATTAATATTATTTTAAACAAGATTTATGTAGTTTATGCAGCACATTAAAATATAAAGGGAAACAATACAGTTGCAATACACTATAATATGGTTAGGAAGGCCCTGCTCATGTAAGCTTACAATCTAATATGGAAGGATAAATAGTGGAAAGGGTAATAATTTTGAGGGATGAGCTGATGGAATAATTAAAAGTTCAGTTATAAGGTGGAGTCGGGATGGGCTTTCCTGAAGAGATGAGTTTTCAGGGATTGCTTAAAGGTAGCAAGAGTAGGAGATGGACAAACAGATTGCGGTAGAGAATTGCAGAATATGGGAGAGGCTCTGAAGAAGTCCTGAGGCACGCATGGGAGGAAGAGACAAGGGAGCTAGAGGGCAGAAAGTCTTGGGTGGAGTGGAAAAGATAGTTTGGGTGATTTGTGACAAGATTGGTCATGTAGGTTGGGGCAGAGTTGTGAATGGCCTTGTATGATGTTGTTAGTATTTTGAATTTAATTCACTGGGCAATCGGAAAACAGTAGAAGGAGTGGAGCAGACTGAATGCAAGTGCATCTGGGAGGCAGAGCATTACATTTTTATTTATATAAAACACTGCTCTTTGTAAGGAGTTGACATGATCTAAATCCAGTGGTCGGTATTGCAAACAGAAACAGCTCTCCTATTGTTGTTGTAAGACAGCAGAGTGCATGCTCTTTGTGCCCAAATACATGCATGAATGACCTAGTGAAGATCTACAGTTTTCACTGAATGCCATAAAAGACAAATTGTATTCATAGTTACATAGTTAGGTTGCAAAATGACACTAGTCCATCTATTTCAACCAATTAAAAAAACACACACACACAAATAGAAAACCTCCATACATACTATCCTATAGCCATGGTTGATCCAGAGGAAGCCAAAAAACCCAATAAAGTTCAATCCAGTATGGGGAAAAAAAATCTTTCCTCATCCCCCAGGAGGTAATCAGATATTCCCTGGATCAACCACCTCTGGTGTTTAATACCTCTAAATATTAGTTTCCAGATATATTTTGTGCATTTTTTTTAAAACAATCTACTGAGGTGGCCAGAACCAGTTCTTGAGGAAGTCTAGTTTACATTTTCATAGTAAAGAAGCCTTTCCATATGTGATGGGTAAATCTCTTTTCCTCCAGACATAAAGAGTGTCCTTGTCCTCTGTGATGACCTGAAAGTGAATAACTCTACTCCAAGTTCACTATATGGACCGCCTATGTATTTATACATGTTGATCATAACCCCCCTTAATCTCCTCAAGAAAGAATAAATTAATTTCCTCTAGTCTTTCCTCATAGCTGATCTCCTCCATGCCTCTTATCAGTTTGGTTGCCCTTCTCTGCACTTTCTTCAGTTCCCCGATTATCCTTTTTGTGGATTGGTGCCCAAATCTTAACTGCATATTCCAGGTCTTACTGATGATTTGTACAGGGGTAAAATGATATATCTCTCTTCAATCTGTACCTCTTTTAATACAAGAAATTATTTTCCTAGCTTTAGAAACTGCAGCTTGGCATTGCATGCTGTTATTTGGTCTATGATCTACCAGAACACCAAAATCCTTCACTGCCATTGATTCCTCCAGTTGTACTCCCCCTAGTATGTATGATGCATGCATATCTTTAGCCCCCCAAGTATATAACTTTACATTTACCAACATTGAACCTCATTTGCCACATAGTTGCCCAATTACACAGTGCATTGAGGTTGGCTTGCAAGTTGGAGACATCCTGTAAGGACGTTATTCCACTGCACAGCTTGGTGTCATCAGCAAAAGACTGAAATGGTGCTTTTAATCCCAGATCCTTTATCATTTATAAATATGTTAAAAAGTAAGGGTCCCAATACTGAACCTTGGGGTACACCACTAACAACCCTAGACCATTCAGAGTATGAATCATTGATCACTACTCTCTGAATACGATCTTTTAGCCAGTTTTTCTATCCATTTACAAACTGATTTTTCCAATCCTGTAGACTTTACCTTACATATTTGCCGTGTGTGGAAACTGTGTCAAACACTTTGGCAAAATCCAAGTACACTGTATCCACAGCCACTCCATTGTCTACATTTTTGTTTACCTCTTCATAAAAATACATCAGATTTTTTGACCACTTTGGTCTTTTGTGAATCCATACTGCCCATTGCTTAAAATATTATTTTCTAGCAAAAACTATTTTATATGGTCTTTCTAAACGCTCAAGTATCTTCTCAACTATAGAAATCAAAGACCTTAATCCCTCTTTAAATATAGGCACCACATTGGCTTTATACCAATCCTATACCAATCCAGTGGTACTATGCCAGTCATTAAAGAGTCTCTGAAAATTAGAAACAATGGCTTAGATATAACACAGCTCAGCTGTTTGTGGACCCTTGGGTGTATACCATCTGTTCCAAGTGCTTCATTTGCCTTTATTTTGTTTAAATGTTTTTTGGACCATATACATTTTTAGCCGATGTGGTTCATGTGGGGCTATGTCAATACCATCATCCCCATTATGGACTTGCACTTCCCCATTTTTCTTTTTATACACAGAGCTGAAGAAAGTATTTAATAAATTTGCCTTCTCTATGTCCCAAGTAACAAACTCAAAATTATCCAATAAAAGGCCTACATGCGCAGACCTGACATTTTTACTGTTAATATATTTGAGGATTTTTTGGGGGTTTGTCCTACTCTTTTGCAACCCATCAAGGGGGAATAGTGCCCCTTATCATTGTCTGTGGGGGATTGATATGCCCCATCTTTGTGTCAGTGGTTCTCATACCTGCCCATAATGGCCTGCCATAACTGTAATTTTGCAGTTTTCAGTTTTTTGTATCCTTGATTTCCTTATTACATATTTCTGTTATATTCTTTGTAACTTCTAAATGATGAAAATGTTTGTTCATTTTTATATTTTTTTTATATTTAAATATTTTATTGTTTTCAAATCACCGTATTAAATGTACATAAGCTAATAAAACAGACAGTATACATTACACATTTCTGTCATAACACTCCCCAGAAATAACCTTAATCTCGGTTACATTTTACCCTCACCCTTTGATTATGCATTTTTAACTTAATTCTAGAAATCCTGAACCTTAGCTATTACTAGTATTGTACTGTACTATATTTATCCCCTTTCCTTCTTTTCCTTATTTCACATATTCTAGGTATACCTCTGAGTTTTTAAACTGTACCCACTTTTCCCAACTTGTATGAAATACCTCCATTTTATCTTCCTCCATATGGTAAAGTTCCTCCATTCTATATACCTTCTCCACTCTTTCTACCCAATCCTGTATTTTCGGTGCCTGTTTCTTCTTCTAAAACTTGGGTATCAGTCCCTTTGCTGCATTTAAATAATACAATAATCCCAGTTTTTTTATATTTTTAACCAAAAACTTGGTACCAAAAAGAAGGCAAGGCTCAGGGTCCTTAGGAATATTTACCTCTGTTATTTCCTGAATTATACTCACTATGCCCTCCCAGTATTCTTGAATTTTGTGACACTCCCACCATAAGTGTATCATTGTACCTCTCTCTCCACATCCCCGCCAACATAAAAGTGAGTTGTCTCCACTTATTCTATGCGCTACATTCGGTGCAATATACCATCTTACTAAACACTTATAATTAATTTCCATTTCCTTCATATTTACATTCTCGTGAATTAAACTATATATTTTCTTTTGTTTTCCCTCATCAATTATTACTTCTAAATCCCTTTCCCACTTCTCTATAAATAGTGGCCTTGTAGCCGTGATTAAACCTGTGAGAATTTTATATATTTTAGTGATCCCGTGCTTCCCATCTCCTCTTATGTCTAATAAGTGGTCAAAGGGGTTCCAATCTTCTTTTTTTCTTAATGGCATTGGGAGACTACCTACAAAATGTTTTAGTTGACTTTCATCCATTCATCCATTCTCGTAAATATATCCCTCTTACTTTCCAGTTCACTAAGTGGACACAATTCTTCTCCCACCATTATATCTTTTAACTGAACATCTTTCTTCTTTATCCAATTCCCTGTAATACTCTCTTTACCTGGAGGAAAAAACTCTGTAGATCCTAGGGGCATTAACAATGAATTAAATTCCCACCCCCTTTGTTTGTGTAAAGTGTCTCAAACTCTCAAAACATTACGTGTAAACAAACTTGTGTTATCTTTTAATCCTCTAAATTGAGGAGGTAACCAAATGATTCTACTTAAATTCATGTGACTTAATGTATTTTCTATGTTTACCCAACTTTTCCCCTGTGCATTATGTGTCCAATCAAAAATTCTTGCCAATATTACTGAATTATAGTATCTCTTCATATCTGGTACCCCCAGTCCGCCTTTTCTTTTATCTCTACTTAAGATTTCATAGCTTATTCTGTACTTCTTATTTCTCCATATAAATTATGTTATAATTTTTTTTAATTATTCTAAAATATGCCTCTGGGAGCTTAATTGGTATCATTTGAAATTTATATAGAATTTTGGGAACGATTACCATTTTTATCATTATCCAACCAATCCATGACTGAAATCCTCTTCCTAATTTCTTTATTTCATCCTTAATCTTGTTTAATAGTGGGATATAATTTAAACTATATAAATTCTTTAAAGATACAGTAAGTTTTATACCCAAATATTTTAGATCTCTTTCTCTCCAAATAAAAGGGAATTCCTCCTGTAACTTTTTTTCTCTCTATTTGTAAGGTTTATATTAAGATCTCTGTTTTAGTTGGGTTAATTTTTAAGTTTGACATTTCTCCATATTCTTTTAAAGATTTCATTAAGTTTGGTAATGTTATCCTCAGATTTCCTACATAGAACATGTCATCTGCATAAGCTGCCACCTTCTGCTTAATTTCTCCTACCCAAATTCCTTTTATATCTACATTGTTCCTGATGGTAGCCAAAAGAGTTTCCAAAGACAGTACATATAACAATGGGGACAAAGGGCACCCCTGTCTTGTTCCATTCTGCATCTCAATGTACTCGGCTAATTCCCCATTTACAATTATTGCTGCCGAGGGTTGGCTATATAATTTCCTAATCCATTCTCTTCATTTTTATATTTGTAAATGCTCTTTCCTATTTATAGCTATTTTAAGTTTGGACATGAGCCACAGAAATTACAGCAGCAGATGAACTTGCCCTGATATTAGATTAGCATAGATACTGTCATACTCATTTTAGGCTTTAGGCAACACCTTGAAAATGCAAACATTTGACCAGAAGAAAAAATAGAACTGAGAGATGCAATTGTCATATGACTATGCCTATTATACTTGACATTTGATGCTTGTTTAACTACTAATAAGCTGTGGCTTACACTCCATATATTGGCTGGATCATGATCTAGACACTAAAAAAGCCTATTAGGCTCTGTTCACACCAGTGTGATTTCAGATAGGACTTGAGTCGCACAGAATTGCATGACAAAGGAAATAACACAGTTTTCATTGGTGCATGTTCATATCAATGCACAGTGCAGTTTCCCTGTACTACTTTAGTGCGATTCCTTCACAATTTTGGCCCCATAGAATATGCAAACCACATTCAAGTTGCAGTACATAATTGCACTGAAAATTGGATCACAGCAGTGTGAACCTAGCCTTAATGGGTAATTCAAACTTCTATCAAGTAGTAGATTACTGATCTGTATTGCAGGTGCCTTGACCTGGAGTAGAAAATACTATAACATTTGCACTTTTTCCAGGTGCCAGCTCAGAAAGAGGAGACGGAACTTCTGCTCAGTATTCCCCCAGACAGAATCGGACATGGGACATTTCTGTGTAATTCTCCAGGTGTAGTGGAAGTGGTGAAACAAAAGAATATCCCGATAGGTACTAAAACTCTTGTATATACACCTAGGATCTTAGCTATGGTGTATCTTTATTGTGCATTCAGGGTATTTTTTTAAATTGTTTACATACCTCTAGCTGATATTCACTCACCGACCACTTTATTAGGTACACCTTGCTAGAACCGAGTTGGACCACCTTTTGCCTTCAGACCTGCCTTAGATCTTCGTGGCATAGATTCAACAAGGTGTTGGAAACATTCCTCAGATATTTTGGTCCATATTGACATGAGTAACTGTTGCCTTTCTGTCATCTCGAACCAGTCTGCCTGTTCTCCTCTGACATCAGCAAGGCATTTTCATCCAAACAACTGCCACTCACTGGATATTTTCACTTTTTCAGACCATTCCCTGTAAACCCTAGAGATTGTGCGTGAAAATCCCAGTAGATCAGCAGTTTTTTAAATACTCAGACCAGCCCACCTGGCACCAACAACCATGCCATGTTTAAAGCCACTTAAATCCTCTTTCGTCCCCATTCTGATGCTCGGTTTGAACTTTAGCAAGTTGTGTTCACCACGTCTAGATGCCTAATTGCATTGAGTTGCTGCCATGTGATTGGCTGATTAGCAGTTTCTGTTACCACGCAATTGAACAGGTGTACCTAATAAAGTGGCCGGTGAGTGTATTCCAACCGTATTACCAATTGACTTGGAAACATCTGGCTGGCTGGCTGGCTCGCAAATCTCTTGCTGATCACAGCAGAGCGGGTGGATAACACATCCATACCTGCTCAGTTTCTGGACACAGACTCTGCTATCCATTTACACCTGACTACCTTCCAATCCGATCCACCTTAACGGAAGAGGACCAATCCCCCAATCCCCTTCTGTTTTTTTTTTTTTAGCAGACCGTATTGAACCTGGAGGTAGGTGGGTGTAAACGAAAACAAGTCTGTTTACACTCACCTGTCCTTAGGAATGGATCACCTCTGTGAAAAGGGCCTTAGTCTTTGATTAATACTTTTGCCTTAGAAACCAATTGCAAACTACTGATGCATTGGTATCTTGTACCAACCCATATGGCCAATGCCTTCCCTTGTTCTTCCTCCAGTTGTTTTAGGGGTTGCCCCGATCAAGGAGACTACTACCACATCTGGTGATCCTGTCCAATTTGCAAGTCTGCCAAGGTGTCTATTCATTATTTGCACCCTTCTTGAGCCTCTAGATAAACATGGACCCATGGGAAGTCCTTTTAAACAAACTTCCTCTTTCCTGTACTAGAATTGAATATCACCTACTCACTCACATATTCACACCCACTAGACAAACTGTGGCAAAAGCCTGGAAAACCTCAACCCTCTCTGTTGAGGCCTTTAAATCACAAACACACTTTTGCAGGTTGTATGAAGAAATTGACTGCCATTCAACAGGACACCCTACCCAAATTCTACAAAATTAGAGACCCTTGGGTCATGCACTTCCTTCCCACTTAATTTGATCTAACACTCATCAATCTGAACTCTTGAATTGATTCTTACATTCCTAATCCTTCCTCCCTTCCCCCACCTTCCCTCTCTCCCACCACTTCCTAACTCCTTCCTCTTTTTCTTCTCACCTACTTCTAGCTGGTTGGGACAAATTTGCATTGGCATGTGTTTAAAGCCCAGTACACATGGACCAAAAATCCTCCGGTTCAACATGAACTGGCCAACTTTCGGTCCCTGTGTACAGCTGTCTGTTCAACAGAAGCTGGTCTAATGACCGACTTATACAAAAACAGGAATGTACAAAAACCAGCGTAACCAGATCAGTGTATTTTGGGGGCGGGAGGAGACCCCTTTTCTGAATACAATGTCTCAGAGAGAGAGATCCCTGCATTTAAATTGCTTGTTTTGATGCAGGGATCTGTCAGTAGTGTGTGTACCCAACTTTACTTAAAGTGGAGTTCCACCCAAAAGGGGAAGTTCCACTTTAAGCCTTTGCCCCCCACTCCCCATTAGGATTGGCACCTTTGGGGAACGGGGGGGAGGGTGTACCCGAGTTGGACAGGTACCCGCTCCCACTTTTGCTGCGATTGCCTTCGATTGAGCTGCAATTTGTGTATATTTGACAAGCTGCCTCAGCTAGAAGCAATCCAGCAGCTGGGTAGCCGCTCGATCGCTTTCAAACAGCCCGGGTAGAGCTCGAATTCACCCTAGGCTTGCAGGCCCACCATGTATCGCAGGTGAAAGGGTTAAAGCATTTATAGTTGAACATAGTTTTTAATGTGGAGTTAAACGGTCCTGTTTTATTTAATTTTTTTTTAATTAAATGGACCCCCAGGAGCTTTATGTCATAATGTGCTAGTGTAAGCTCGTAAGAGTAGGGCCCTCTTACCCCTCGTACGTTGTTTGTTGTTGTTGTACTGTGCCATGTATTGTCCCCCTATTGTACAGCGCTGAGCAAACCCTTTGGCGCTATATAAACTCGTAGTAATAATAATAATAATAATAATATGACAGACTTACCTGTCAAGCGATGCCTTCTAGAATTGTGCTGTCAGAGCTCCGGCTGGTCATGGGCTCTTCCATCTTCTCCCAGTCTTCCTCCCGGGTTTTCTGTGTTGAATGGTCCACCTACAATGGCGTCACTCCCATGTATGCGCATGGGAGTCTAGTTATCATGGCACAGATGGGTGTCGAAAATGTACACTGAGCTGGGCATGAGTGGGTCAGTGTACATGACCACTGACAGACAGGAAGAAGCATTTATGACAGAAGAGACCATTACTACTACTACATGTCACCTTTTTTTTTTTTTTTTTTTTTAGTTCTACAGAAAGCAGGGTATTGTAGGTTATCACTTCCATAACAAATCCAAAAAATAAGGGATATAGCTTATTTGAAGGAATATGGGGAGACCCATGCACATAATTTCTCTAGTGCCCAGCTGTGCATTCATAGAGTAAATAAGTAAGAGTAAAGTTACATAGTTGGTAAGGTTGAATAAAGACACCAGTGTGTGTGTGTGTGTGTGTGTCATATCCCTGTATGTTGTGTTCTCTAAGATGCCCATCTAAGAGTTGTGTTTTTTTTTTTTTTTTTTTTTTTTTTTTTAATAATGACCCATCTCGCATACACCACCGATTGTGGAAAGTAGTTCCTTATCCTTGCCGCTCTGACAGTAAAGAACCCCTTACACAGTTTAAGGTTAAACTGCTTCTCCTCCATTCAGTACTGCACAGATACAGCCCAATATTACAGAACCATTTGTTCCAGTCTTTATGTAAACCACTCAGGCTGGCTGTATATATAAATAGGTGATACTATAAATATGGATTCTTCAGTACCTTATCAGAAGTTTAAAGTGGTTGTAACCTCTTACATATACCCAGTGAAGTGACTAGCCTCAGGCGATACACAGAAATGAAACAAATCCTCCTACATCCTACAGTTGTATCTATTTATGTACGGCCGTCTTTTCCCTACATCTACTCAAAGTGCAGAATTTACACAGGATCTCTCAGCTCTGAAAAGCAGGGGGTGGGGGTTGAAGTTACATCAGTGAGGGGAGCTCTGAGAGCTGATTGGAGGGAAGGGACACTCCCCCCTTTCATACAGCACACAGGAACAGAGCTGAGGCTATCAATCACAGGCTGTGCCCTCCCCTGTCACTATTTTTCTATTGGTGTCAGGAAAACTCATCAGAAGTGACTCATGCACACTTGATACTCTGGATTGAGACAAATACACACTATAGAGAGATATGCTTTGTTCATATTTCATGTCTGAGGTTTACAACCACTTTAATTGAACTCATGCTAACGCACGGCATATTGCGTGGTATAATCTGCATTATTACAGCACACAAATGTAAATGAGCCCTAAGGAAGATTTGTAACTGCTACAAAAATTGTGTATGAACACCATCTAAGAAGCCTCAAATGCATGTGGTGTAAGGGGCAGTATTGTCCAAAACTCATTCTGCTCATTTCATGAAATTGCAAAGTGGGGCCTTTTGTTAACATAGAACAATAGCATGCACGGCAAAATAACACTTCATATTTCAATAGATTTTGTCAGGCCAAGTAGAATAATTGGTGTTGAACTCATAATGGTGAAGAAACAATTGTCCATCTTGTAACAGGTCGAGGTCCAGAACAGTTGCAGCAGGAGGATTGCATTATTTGCTAAAAAAAAAAAATCTGTTCAGCTTCTGCCTGTACTGAGTTGTATACCGTGGGCGGATTTACCCTGAACCCATCTAGGACAATGAGTCAAGCTTGCGGGGATATGAATCAGTGACTCAGGTGCCGCGTGATAATCATTTCTGTTGAACAGCCATGTTTTTCTTTCTGTTTGCAGTGTAAATTGAGCCTGAATTTCAAGCCGCTATTTATTCATGAATGTAGAATAATGAGGAGGCTGCCCAGCCAGATATATTTAGATATTAACAATTTGTTCCATGCCATGCACTAGTCCAGCTACTATAAGGTAGAGTTAAATATCAGCATAAAAGTAATATACTTAGTGACAGTCAGCATGTAATAATGTGTGCTTTTTTCTCTATTTAGAGCTCTGCATTACTTCAAATGTCAAAGGACAGACTGTTCCCTCTTATGACAAGCACCATTTTGGCTTTTGGTACAACTTGGGTCATCCATCTGTACTGTGTGTAAGTATTTTCACAATGTATCAAATAAAATGCACAACTTTTGACACAAAACAATTGCTGACTTGAAAAAAATGGGCATGCAACATGTGCAGCATTGATTTCTATAAAGCTGGAGACAAAAGGCAATCTTAATAAAAGTGTTTTACAAATTATATAATATACTAAATTAATATAATAAATTAATATAGTAATAATAAATTAATAATAAATTATAAATGAAATAATTAATAAATAATATAGTGAATTAATACAATATAGTAAATGATATAGTAAATTCCTTTGACAATAAGAGAAATTATTTGCATTTTAAAAATCTGATGGACGATGAATTTTTAAAAGGCCAAAATTAATCCAGTATCGATTACTTTTACAATACAGTAAAAAAATAAGTCCATAGAGATGAACTCTGCCAAATTTGGGAGGGTTGCAACCCTTCCTCAGTCATTGCGGTTTGTGGTCCCCCATTAGGAAGATTTTTCTTATTCTTTTTTAATTTCCTGCCTCTGTGACCGCTAATAGCGACACAGAGTGAAAAAAAGAAATAGTTTTGGCTATACATACATTTTAATCCCTGGGTTATACGGTTCATAAGAAAAGCCTTTGCCCTGGTTCACACTGCTGTGACTTCTCATGTGACTTGCTGTGATGTGCAACATAGAAGGTCACATGACAAGTAAAAACACATTCATTTCATCGAGTGCTCTCTTAATTGCTGCATATCAAGTCACAGCGACAAAATAAAATGTTCCTGCACTACTTTTCTGCATCTTCCTTGCTACATGGGTGCCATAGACTGCAATGTTAAAATTACAAATTGTTGCAAGGGAGTCTTTTCTTTGTCTTGTCTGCAACTTCAGAGGGTTTTGTAAGCGCAATATTATGTGTCACACTCTGTATTGTGATGATTGGCCAAAGTCACAAAACATTACTCGCATGAAAGTCACGTTGAAGTCGCAAGTCACAATGCAAAGTCGCACGACTTTGGGGTTGCAGCAGTGTGAACCGAGCCTTTATCAACAACATGTAGGGCTTGCATGTAAGGCACACGCTTTAAGGCATGTTATGTTAAGGCAGCCTGTTCATAGGAGTGTGCTTCTCAACACACCAAAATGCCAAGAAAAAGATGCTTGCACCATTTTTAGCAACACAGTGCACCACAATTGCATTACTGTGCTTTGTTGTGCATTGCAACGCAGGTGTGTTAAGAAATTGCTTTAAGATGCCATGTAGAATGAAGGACATTGCAGCATACCAAAACAATAGTCGATTCCTGCCTTAGTCCTAGTAAATGTGGTCAGTGTTCCAAGTTATACAATACATGGTGTTAAAAACGTACAAAATAATTCAAGGCGGTAACATTTAGTTTTGTGCACAAGTCTATAGTGTTATATCTGTGGGACCTCACATATGTAGGGAGTGGTAATATAAGTTGATAGCCTTTCCATACTCATAGAGTCACCTTTGATATTAGTAGAGCTCAAAATGCTGCCTTGAAGAATGACCAGACATCCACCATGATTACAAAGCCTATTAAGCAAATGGATTACTGTACAAAAGCTTATGCAGCTGTTACTGGGTTCAGTGGAAGAGAGGATATGATTAGTGTTTAAAAATGGGAAAAAGGTTTAAAAAAAAGTCATCAGCCTAATGTGTCATGAGCCTCCACCCCTGCGGTCCCTCTGACTCTCTAAATTGGGCATCGAGAAAGCGCAGATGTCTTCTCTACCCACCCAGGGCAGCAAAAAGATGAGGAACAAGAGAACCCATCGCAAGCTGTAGCTGTGGCTTTGAGGAAGAACTTGGGTCTGCGGCACACAAGCGGTGGAGTCACACATATAATGCCAGTCTTGGCAGTAGGTGCCAACTGCTTTGCCACCAAAGCAGAGGTTCATAATAACGGCCACGTATAACTGATGTTGAGGAGCAAGAAATAGGGGTCAATTATAGCTGCCAGTGTTGAGGGATTAAGATCAGGGACTCAATGAGGTTGACTTACTAAACCTGAAGAGTACAAAATTTGGTGCAGCTCTGCATACAAACCAATCAGCTTCCAGGTTTTATTGTTCAAAGCTTAGTTGAACAAGCTGAAGTTAGAAGCGGATTGGCTATGATGCACAGCTGTACCCGATTCTGAGTGCACCAACTTTAGTAAATTTTGACCAATATAGGCTGCTGGACACCAGTGTTGATGGTTTGTATTATGAAGGTGCAACCTGTCAAATGGCACGAAGAGAAATTACCAGTTGGAGTGGCGGTGATCTTTATGTACACTATATTGCCAAAAGCCAGCCCCTCCAAATCATGTGATTCAGGTGTTCCAATCCCCTCCATGGCCACAGGTGTATAAAATCAAGCAGCTAGGCATGCAGGCTGCTTCTACAAACATTTTACTATTCAACCCTTTTACTTATTGTTATATCACAAGGGAAACCCATCCCAAGCCATCAAAGGGGCACAAAGTTAGAGTGGAAATATACAGTATATGTAGATCCAGGTTTCCAGGACAAAGGAAGACCTTCCCTGACTTTGCTAATCCTTTGACACCCCTGGGGAACCAGATACTTGCAATGAACTGAATACTTTGCTGTGGCTTTGGAATAGAATTGGCTCCTTTGGTGCTGGTAATGTCACAAGACGTAATGTGAGTGGTGCTGGTGATGCTGTTGACGATACAGCTGAAAACTGAAATGTTAGAAAAAAAAGAGGGCAACAAATATGTCAGTTTTAGCTGCAGGCATACTATACAAAGATGTCTGGTCAGTAGGGTTATGGCAAGTTTGCAAGAACATAACAGTGACTACCAAATTGACCTCTACAGTTTGTGTCTGCTACTAACAATGATCACACCTACAATATGCTGCTGCTTATACATGGATTGTAGATAGATACAACAACACTACACCATTACAAATGGCTATAGAAAAAAACAACGGCTGATTTACATCTCTGCCATTGTGGGAAAATGCTCATTACCACAACCCATTACAACATGCAGTACATGTGTTGATGCATTGTGGTGCCCTTCATTTTGAATAGCATCCCAAGGCAATGCATTGCAATGCACCATAGCGCATTGTTGCACAAAATTTGTAACATTTCCCATGTATGATGCATCAGAAGTCCAGTGTTTTTAATTGTGAAGTGACTAGCCTCAGGGGATACACAGAAATGAAAAAAATCATCCTACACAAGTTCTACCCATTTTTCTACAGTCTCCTCTTCTCTACTTCCATTCAAAGTTCTGAATTTATAAATCTCGTCTGAGAGCTCAGAAGATGGGGGGGGCGGAAGGCTAAGTGAGAGCTGATTGAAGGGAAGGGACACACCCCCTTCACACAGCACACCAGAACAGAGCTGAGGATGTAAATCTGCTGGAGTTCCCTCCCCTGTCACCATGTTTCTCTTGGTGTCAGGAAAACTTGTCAAAAGTGATTCATGCTGATAGCAGAGGAACAAGCATCAGATGGAAATGACACTTAGGGGTTTATTTACTAAAGCTGAAGAGTGCAATATCAGGCTCACTTATTATTCGTATTATACAGGATGTATATAGCACCAATAGTTTACACAGCGCTTTACAACATAAGGGCAGACAGTATAATTACAACACAAATTAATATAGGAGGGATCAGAGGGCCCTGTTTGTTAGAGTTTACAATCTACTGCATAGAAACCAATCAGCTTACAGGTTTTAATGCTAAAGCTTAATTGTACAAGCTGAGGTTAGAAGCTGATTGGTTTCTATGCAGAAGTGAGCCTGATTTTGCACTCTCCAACTTTATTATTATACAGGATTTATATAGTGCCAACAGTTTGCTCAGCGCTTTACAAAATAAAGAGAGACAATACAGTTCAATACAAGAAGGTTAGGAGGGCCCTGCTCCTTGGAGCTTACAATCTAAGAGATAGTAAATAAACCCCATTGTGCTATTAACTGAGACAAGTGCACACTATAGAAGGATATGTTTTGTTCATATTTCATGTCTGAGGTTTACAACCACTTTAAATGAACTCATGTTAACGCACGGCATATTGCGTTGTATAATGTGCATTATTGCATCACACAAATGTAAATGAGCCCTAAGGAAGATTTGTAACTGCTACAAAAATCATGTATGAACACCATCTAAGAATCCTGGAAAAGCAAGAAAAGGGAAATAAGATGATATTTGTTGTGGAAACTTGAGTTCTGGAACGAATTGCACCTCTAATAGAACCTTTTTGTTTTTTACTTAATAGACAGATGACAAAGGAGTCTTCTCTACAGATCTTTCTCTGGAATATGAGATTGCTGCTAGTACATTTCATCTGAGACCTCATCAAGTATGGGATCTGTCAGCTCAAGCCATTGACTACATTTTTGCACCTGACGATATCAAATCACATTTAAAGGAGAAATGGTCATTGCTGAAGCCAAGTGTGTTTACACATGTAAAGTAATAACTCTTAGCAGAAGAAGTAATGGCATTGACTGACATATATACTCAGGTGTACCGGAGCAGGATTTTATGGATTTCAAAGTTACTCAGGTTCACATCATCTACGGATTCCAATTTTTCAATACTTTAAAGAAGCATGGTAAACTACTTGGGTGTGAGGTGAGGATTGTCCCATCTTATCACTGGTCCATCAGTTTAAAGTACTGAAGATTACATTTCAAGGTCCGGCCATAGCAAAACTACTTTAGGTAAATCCAGGAATGTAGGGTGGGTCTCATAGGTTTAGACCTAGACTGACATGACAAATACAGGTAGTTTTTGTATAGCAGTGCCCATATGGAAGAAAAATATATTTTAAGAATATTCTTTCCAAATATATTGCCATATATTTGAAATGCTACAATTTTGGCCATATTCAATATATTTCAAAATATATTACAATAAATATAAATAAAATAAATAAATAAATATATATAAATAAAACTGCATGTGGAAATGCGTTTTTATTACACAATAAATGAAAAATACATTTCAAATATACTGTATGTCTTTAAAAATACAAATCTACATTTTTGGAATGCATTTACAAATATATGTAAAAATATATGTTAAAATTACTTTATATGTTAAAAAAAAATCTGAAGAATATATTTTTAAAAATATATTCTTCATTGTAACATATATTTTTACATATATTTGTAAATGCATTCCATTCATGTAGATTTGTATTTTTAAAGACATACAGAATATTCGAAACATATTTTTTTAAAATATTTTTCATATATTTTGTAATAAAAACACATTTCAACATGCAGTGTGTGTGTGTGTATATATATATATATATATATTAAATATGGCCCAAAATTATAGCATTTCAAATATGTGGCAATATATTTGGGAAGAGTATTTTTAAAATATATTTTTCTTCCATGGGCGTGGTCTCCACAAACGACTCCATGTGCGACCCAAGGGCTGTATCTGACAATTATTTTCATAATCGATTAGTTGGCCTTTTTTATTGTTTCAATTAATCGGATTAAAACCTCAGAAAAAGTGTGGTGTATAAGTTAGTTAATATGTCCAGTTGAAAAAAAAGACAATTTTTTGCCGTAATAAATATAAATAACCAGCTATATGGTTAGGGGAAAAAGATATCTAATCCACTCTAAGAATAACAGACAGAAGAGATGTATATACTATTAAGAGGTTGGATCTTTTACATATCATCAGATCAAAATTTTTATTCAAAGGAAAGAAAAAATGTAAAAAGACCAAAAACACTGTTTTGCAGATTTTTTAGACAGGATTGTAATATCAGGGCTGAGTGAAAAAAAAAAAACAAAGATGGCTGTACTACCTAAGAAATGTTAGTGCAGCGACTCCTACCTCCTGCCAGAACACATTAATGGTTTAACAGCATGTCCCAACAAAAGCTAGTCAATAGAGTGGCTTCTGTTGGAAGGACAGCTGTACACATGGTCTGAATGTCGGTCGGTTCCTGCTGATATGGCCGATATGTGGACCATGTGTACCCAGCTTCATGGTGGTCATATACAAATAAATTTTTCCTTCGAAAAATTTTCATTTTAAGAAAGTTTGTTCAATTTTCTAATCATTAGCGGGGTCCAATCAGCATTTTGTTTTCAACCACAGTGACGGGAAAATTTGAAGGATCAGAATAGAAAACTTTTCTCGATCGAACGAATTTCCGGACAGTATGTGGTTTTCGTTCAGAAATTACATTCCTTTTAAAACTGAATGTTTAAAAGCAAGTGAAATTTGTGAACAGCATTCATTCATTGAAATTCAAGAATTTTCATTTGAATATACTTGTCTGAAAATCGATATGTGTATGACCAGCATAAGACATTGAGTAGCAGCAGCAGCAGCATGCTTTTTATCACCTGTCATGATGGGGTTAAAAAAAAAAACACACAAATTAACCCTTTTATAGTGCAAAAAACTGCAGATCACTACTGTAAGGGGTTAATTTGTACTGTGAAACAGTGAAAGTAATAAAATAATATATACCCAGAAGTAGGATAGATTGAGTATTGTAGGTGGGAGTCAGACATGAAGCTATATGTAGGGTGGAGGGGGGATATAAATCTTTTATATCAAAGTAGTACTAAAGGCTGAGTTTTTTTTTTTTAGCATGGATATATTCATTTTAAATATAAGGCACAGTAATGGTAAACTTTTATTTTAAATGTATTTGTAATTTGTGCATTACCTCCAGTCTATCAGTCTCCAGCTTCTCTGGGTTCAGATGCTGGTCTTCCCTGTACTGAGCCCTTAAAGTGATTGTAAACACTGAGCCTGGGTTCACATATATGAGGTGTGGTATATCGCATATGACTCGCTCAGGAACCGCACCGCATTCCTGTGCAAATCACATGCGATTTGTGTGCGGTGCGATTGGAGCCATACATTTTGTATGGCTCTATTCATCACCGCACCCGCACCAAAAAACATGCAGGACCCTTGGGTCCCCACTAGAATCAGATCGCATGGGTATTCACACCCATGCAATCTGATTCTGCATATTGCACCACATTTTGCGGACCGCTTTTGGGGTGTTGTTAACATATACACCCGCAGCGGTTTGTATGAACGGGGTGCGATTCTGATGTGCTACAGAATTCAGTGTGTGTGTGTTTTTGTTTTTTTTAAGTAAACTTGTTATACTTATCTGCTCTGTGTAATGGTTTTGCACAGAGTAGCCCTAATTCTCCTCTTTTAGGGTCCCCTGCCAGTACTTCTGGCTCTTCCTGCCTTCAGAGTACCCCTGTAGCAAACCGCACAGTATAGTATAGAGCGCCCCTATAGCAAGGACAAAAAACTTCTGCCTTTAGAATCACTCACTTCCCTCTCAGGCTCAGGACTACATGTCCCACAAGACGTGCTGTTTTCAAACTGACAGCGGGTTCAGAGAGAAGAACCTCCGTCCACTGTCACCTGGGGGGATCGAGGGTGGGGGGGGCGCACTGTCACTGTGCAGGGAGTGATACAACAAGCTATAGCAGCTCACTGGATCTCTTCTTTTCCTCTCTCCCCCCCATGATTAGGAAATGACCATTAGAGGCAGAGAGTGGTGCAGGCAGCACAGAGGCTCAGATCTGCCCAATACCTGCTCCTTCTAATGAGTGTCTGCCCAGATACCACTCAGAGGAACCTGATGACTTCCTCCTACCCCTGTCCAGGCATAGGGAGGAGGCAGCTTCTCCCGGCTCAGTCACCCATCTGTACAGTCGCTTATCAGAGGGAGTCAGCCCGATGTGCAGATCTGTGCCTGGTCAAACCGGGACATACGGCTGATATCTGCAATACATGTAGTGTAGATATTAATTTATAGGGTGCAGAAACATTTTGTCAATTTTTTGGCACACATGGCAAATCCTTTTCATCATAGGCGCACTATATTTGGCACATCACCAAAACGTGTCACAAATGCAGTATAGTTTATTGGGCTTCCAGTGTTCACAAAAAAACTGGCAGAACAGGGACAAGGAGGGGTTTGATCCACACTCACAAGTTTCACCCACTCCACAGAAACATTATTATTATACAAGATTTATATAGCGCCAACAGTTTGCTCAGCACTTTACAATATAACGGGAGACAAAACAGTAACAATACAGTTCAATACAAGAGGGAAAGGAGGGCCCTGATCCTTGGAGCTTACAATCATTGACCCTAGGTTCACACTTTTGTTGATTTCAGTGTGTTTTCCAGTTTGCAGAAACACTCTACAGTCCATTTCACATAATTTCCTATGGATCTGTGCTGGTGCGTTTTTGTGGTTTTCTTTTTGTTTTTTTTTTAAAGGGTCAGGGACTTTATTTCCTGCAGTAAATTGTGTTTTTTGTGCAATAGACTTCAATGGAACTACACCAAAAATGCAGGTGTTGCATTTTTGATGCATTTTTTTTTTGTTAATAGGAAATTATGACAGTTCTGTTCATGCAGTGCGACTTCGAATGGGTGCGACTTGATTGTGACTTCGAATGGGTGCGACTTGATTGTGACTTTGGATGGGTGCACTTGAATGCGACGTTGGATGGGTGCGATTTAGATGCAGCTTTGATGTGACTTTAAACTCTCTGGCACTCAAGTAGCATCAAAGCTGTATCCAAGTTGCACCATTTAAAGTTGTATCAAAGTGGAATCAAAGTCAATACTTTCCTATTGCTCAAAAAACGCAACACTCATCAAAAACGTGTGTTAAAAAAACTCACTGTGAAATCACAAAACCTGCATTGATGTGAACCTGGTTTAATGGACTTCTCTTTTAAGGGAACTAAAAAGATTTTAATCTGGGGAATACTCATGAATAGTAATGTATTGGAAATGTGGAGGTGTTCTCTGTACCAGTTTAATTTCTAATTGGAAAAGCAGTATTGGTTGCAGAGGTCAGCCCCACTATTATTTAGTTGCACTACTTTCCCACCATGTACCCAGTGGTGTATTTAGGTTTTGTGCTGCCCTAGGCAACACAAAAATCGCCCCCCCCCCCCCTCCCACGGAGAGACCCTGACACCGACCAACACCCCCCCCCCACGAAGAGAGCCTGACATTGACCAACAACACCCCAGCCCCCCACCACCACCACCCAAGAGAGCCTTCTACTACCACCACCCCCCATACACTGGCCACCCCCCCAGCGAGAGAGAGAAGACACTTACCTTCACAGCTCCGGACATCCCCAGGAACAAGAATCAAGCTCTGCATACATCATCAAGCAGCCGCAGCCTCTCTCGGATCCCACCTGGTCCCCATGCAGCATGTGTCCCTTCTTCCATTCCTTCTTCCGGGGGATGGCACTGCCCCCCTAAAAAAAATTCAGCTGCCCCCCTGAAAAATGCTGCCCTAGGCAAATGCCTGGTTTGCCTTATGGTAAATACGCCCCTGTATGTACCCCATAATAGCTGAAGAGATGTGGATTTTAAAAGATACCTCTGTTAGGTTTTTCTATAAAAAGGTGTTTTCTATTATTATAGA